AGGTTGGATATCAGTTTCCAGACCAGAACTATTTCTGTGCCCTACTTGTGAAGGCAGAAACCAGATTTCAGGTAGGCAGACATCTTGTTGAGAAGATGAAGCAGCAGAGATAGATAATTTTTTTAAAATATATGTATTTTTTAGTTGTTGATGGATCTATTTTTAAATTACATGTGTGCTGAGAATTGTACCCAATGCCTCACACATGCTAGGCAAATGCTCTACCACTGAGCCACAACCCCTGCCCCAGAGATATATTATTTTTAAAGCTTGGTTATGAAGTGGGGAGGAAAGGGCAGAGAAACACAGCACTTAAACACACAGCATGTACTTGCCCAGGGAGAGGACATGGGAGTTGATGGTGGTAACTTGAGGGGCAGTCAGGGTCAAGAGGGGAGTTTCTTAAGAATGTCAGAAATTTGATCATGTTTATAGCCTGAGGAATGAGAGCTGATGGTGAGGAGAGATTAAATGCCTGTCAAAGTGGATGATTGATGGTCCTACCCTAGACTAGTACTGAGCTTGCTGGGAACTCCTCAAACAGGGCACAGAGGTGAAGGAGAGGCTAGGGCCATGTGAATGGGAGTCATTCTGAGTTACCAGCTAGAGAGAGAAGCAGGTCCATAACACAGGGACAAAGTCAAAGATAATTTTTAAGTTTCATAGGTCGTGTGAGGATGCCTGAAGAATCTGGAGACTGAGAAATGGCAAGAAACAGGAAGGTCAGTGAGAGGTGACGATTCAGGAACAAATTCTGGAAGCACTGTATCCTTTGATGCGTAATTTTTCTGTGCAATCTGGAAACTTTTTGGGTTAGGGAACTGTTCTAAAAAGTGAAAGAACCTGACAGAGAGGATGGCCATGTGCTGTTGTGGCACATTAGCCTTGGAAAGGAGCCGAGTGCTTGCTACTTCTAAGACAGGGTTTTAGGAGATAAGAATGAGATGATTCTGGAAAATGTTGAAATAGGAAGAATTTAAGTTCAATGAATAATCTGTTGGTTTTTCGCTTTTCAGTAAACACAAGGAGAAATTATTTGAAGAGGAGAGGGGTACATTGTGGGGTTTATGGCTTGAGAACAGAAAAGATTTGGAGAAATCCCTGAAAGGAATCAGAGATGAGCACAACATTTTTCAGGCAGTATTGGAAGATAGACTGTAATTTGATAGTGTGAATTTGTCTCAAAACCATCATTAAATGACTTTTGCTAGTAATTGTCATGCCATTGGGAATGGAAACAAACAAAAGACTGAGACTTGGCTGAATTGGGCTCTAATGAACACACAGTACATCAGGTTTCAGAGTAGGGTATGCTGGGTGAAGGATTTTTTGGTATAAATAAGAGTACAATTGAAATGACTAACCTTACGGAATCTAGTGGATAGGGAGACAAGTACTGCTTAAAGGAAGTTGATAAACCAGGAAAACAATGAGTTACTAAGTAACTAGTGGTCACAGAAGAAGAAATTAGAGATTGAATGAGCAAGTAGGGCAGTTGAAAGGTTAGAAGATTGTAGCCAGTGGAGGGAATTTCAGAGTTGAGGATTTTAGAAGCAGAGAAAACACATTCTGGGTAAAGATGAGAATCAAGCTTTGGCCATGCTGCTGAGAAGCTAAAAGGAAGTAGAAGTAAAGCCTGTGGGAGCCGAGATTCACTGTGAAGCTGAACAGAAGGTCAATGTGACTACTGAGCAGAAAAGTCATTAACGACAATGTTGAATCTACTAAGGAGACACAAAGTGCCCAACGTAGGTAGAAAAGATATTGATGAAAGCTGTTGATGGGAAATGAGAGAATGTCTTGGTTCTGGATATTTGGGGAGAATATAACTGAATGGTGCTGCCTTATAAGAGGAGGGTTGATGCCGTTGATTAGTGGAGACAAACAGTGGTCTGGAAGCAGTCTTGGAACAGGGACGAAGGTGTTCAGTAAATTGGGTTGGTGGGAACACAGTGTCCTCCACTTAAGATGATTGGGAAGAACATGGCACACTGTGAGAAAATACAAGATTCTGTTTATTTTGGAAGTAGAAGGAGTAATTGAGAATGTCAGTGATTAATTCCTACTAAGTTATACATTTTTAGAGATTCCAGTACATAATAAGTGATAAGAGGCCTTGCTCAGTCTGGAGATAGTGAAGTAGAGCTGGATTGCAGTAAGCTTATTGAAGACTGTGTTTTGAATTCATGTACTAGAACATTTATTGACAAGGACAAGGGGAAGATGATCATCACAGGTAGAAGAACATGCTAATAGTTATAAGCTAGGAGACAGTAAGCCAAAGCTTTATTATTAGTGAATCATAATAGATTTCTAATTAACACTAGCATGTCCAACTGGAATGTCCACTTTCAATGTGAGCATGACCAAGTGAAAAACTGGCTAATTGGACTGGATATTGGAACCAATTACAATATTATTCTCATCAGCTAGAACATTGGTATGACCAATTACAACTGGTAGTTAAAACAGCTAGAGAGATTTTTGGCAGTAGCGGACGTAGAATAGACTTTTAACTTTCAAGGGAGACACATTCTGAAGCTTTTTTGAATTCCACCAAAGCAGTATCTCGAATGCTCATCAGTAGAAAAATTGCATGAATATCATCTTACAGCACTCGAATAGTCAACAAGGGCTGTATTTTAACATGATGTCCCTAAGTGTTGGCTTCTGGTAAGTATTTAAAAATATAAATGAAGTCTCCTAGAGAACTTTTCTTTTTAGATCTCTGAAGTAATTGTTCTTGTGGACCTTAATTTGTATAATTTTTCCTTTTTTCTGTTGCATTGCAGTAAGTAAGCTTGCATATTCATTGTAGTCCATTCCTATTTGTTCACAGGACTTTATAGCATGAGTTTTCTACGAACTGTAACTCTTGAGTTCAACTTCTATTTCTATCTGCTTTAATTTTAGGATTTTTTTTAACCTGGATATATCTATTTTGCAAACTGCCTTAAATCATTTTTGAAACAAGGCAGGTAGATGAAAGATGGGAAGAGATAGACAATGAGATGGTAGAAAGTAAGGGTCAGGGGGAGAAAGAAGAAGAGGAGGAGGGGAGTAAGGGAATAGGTGATATGGGGATGATTACATCTTGAGAAATTCAAATACTCAAGACCAAGAGAACTCATAATTTCTGTGTGTCCTCCATCCAGGGAAGAATTGCTTAAGGCCCTCCATAGCCTGCCTAACCTTAGCATCAGACCCTGGTAGATAGTATGTGGCTCAATGAAATCTTGTCAATCTGAGAGGATATTTCCTTGGCTCAGTGCAAATTTGCTTATTACTATGTATATATGTTTTTTTCCCTCAAAATTCTTGTATTTTTTTTTTCTGTTTGGGAAGCAGTGTGATATCTTAGACAGAAATGAATTCTGGAATTAAACAGAACTGGGTTTGAAAACTAATGCTGCTGATGATTAGTATGTGTCTTTGGCCAAAAGATTTACTTACCCTTTACAGTTCTGTTTCCTCATCTATAGAACTGGGATACTAATATTTACTGTCAAATTCCTAGGAGGATTTATTAAGAGGATGTATGTGAAAGCACCCAGCAGTATCTGACACAGAGAAGGCACTCAACAAATCCAAATTCTCCATTGCATTGGACACACTTATCTGCCTGACTTCTTGTAGCCAAGTAGCCCAGTTCTGGCTCTGCAGAGCTGCTGCCTCTGCCCTGTCAGTCAGCTTCTAGTTTGGCCAGTCCAGGAAGAAACCGCCTCCTCAGCTCAGAGCTCAGAGAATCCATTGCACTGAGTTGATGGACTTCTAGATTTTCATCCCCTCAGGTTAGCACATGAGCAGTTTTTCCCAGGTACTGGCAGCCTTTGACCTGGGGAATTATGTAATCCAAGTCAAACTATTTGTCCTCTCTGGTTTGATTTATGATCTGAGGACAGTTTTAAATCTATGAAATCAGAACTGTTAGGTCAGAATGTTGAGATCACCATTGTTATACTGGGGTTGGGATGCCCAAGATGATACAAAATGTGTAGAACAATGAAGGATATTATGTCTTTTTTGTCTAATACTTTGATCTGTTGCTGTCCTGATTGCCAGGAATATTCTCCTTGCCAGGAACTACCATGTGCCAGGATTTTGACCATGACAGGACATTGCTATTTGCCAATGGAAATATCTGTTGTCCTGAACTTTGGGAAGTGTTTTTGGTTTTTGAAGTCTTTTATAATTTCTAGTAACCCTCAGCAGATTTTTTACTATCTCCTTTGTTTTTTAGTAAGTGTATTTTATAAGTGTATGTATTTATGACAAATTTGTTGTTAAAGATCTGAGATATCTGATTGTAGTCAGTCACCATTCTAGCATTGGCAGGTCTATTAATAACTTTCTTGATCTCTCCTCACAATCAGGAAAGAACAGCCTTCTTGTTTACGTACCACAATGTTCAAATTGTAATTTTGGTACTTCTCAGAAAAGATCCATCTCATATAATAAGATTCCTATACAATTATCAAATAAATACTTATAAATATCCACTTTCTATTCTAAATCCCATCTATGTTCACTGTAATGAGATCTTATATTGAGATGGCTAGAGATTGGACTCAATATTGACTGTGCCCAGCAGGTGATCTAGAAACTTTGGTTTTGAAAAAGACATTATTAATGTGAATTTTTGTTTATATGGTAGAGAGGAACTGCTAATTTGTCTTAAAAATAGAGATGGAAGAAGTTGATTCTTTGAGAGTACCCATGTGTTTTTTTCTGTTTGGAAATAATTAACAAGAATTTTTTTGTGGTGAAACATGTGTTTTGATAATTGTCATTCATATTGTCTTTCAAAAATCACAGTGGGTCACACCAGGGGATGTGCTATCCCTGAGAGAACCAGTGTCAGCCCTGGCCCATCTCTAATAGACCTGGAAGTTATATGCAGCAGTCTCAGTTTTGTAGTGTGCCTTACATCTATAGATGGAGCTAGAGCTGTCCTTGTAGCAATGTTGGTTTATGATATTTGAGATCTGTTTTTCTTGTAGGAGCTGCTAAGTCGCACATCTCTTGAGACCCAGAAGCTTGATCTGATGACTGAAGTGTCTGAGCTGAAGCTCAAGCTGGTTGGCATGGAGAAGGAGCAAAGAGAGCAAGAGGAAAAGCAGAGAAAAGCAGAGGTGGGTACGATACACCAAATTCTGGAAGGTCCTATAATTGTACTAAGCTTAGACCTGGATAAGTAGGGAACTGGGAGGGACTATCCTAATATGGACTCAGCCATCTGGTCAACCCCAATTGTGGCAGCCACTGGGTGCCAGGAATATCTATGCAACTAGTGACACAATGATTTGTTAATATCAAGTTATCAGATTTTGCTGTGACTGCAAATTTCAGCAATACCCAAACCACCCAGTATTGGCTCTAAGTTTTTATCCTCCCTCAAACTGCTGACAAGGATGGAAAGGCATGCAGTAATGAGGGAAGGATCAGACAAACATGGAGGGACACAAATGTCTTCTGTAAGAACCAAGTTAGTGACAATGTACTGGGATGAAGTACAGCTTCCCAACAGGCCACTGTCACTATATCCAGAGAGTCTAGAGACATTTTGTTTACATACATTTCACTGATCCAGATGGAGCCCTCAGATTGCATGTTTCTTTTCTCCTGATGGGTCATATGGGTGTGCCCGTGCATACGCCTTGTCTAAAAGAATATTTTCTTACTTTTGTTTTTTAGGCCCCATTTGCCATTAGTTACAGCATGCCAGACTCCTTTTTGGATAAAGGTTTAGAGAGGGTTAGGCTCTGTAGCATTTTTATTTGAGAGAACAGCCTGTTTTAACCTTAGACAGCCACCTTCATATGTCTTTACCTTCAAATCTTTTACACCCAGCATTATGAGGTACAAATGAAGATAGGTTTTGGTTTCAAAAAAACCTAGGCAGATTTACTCATATATATCTGCTCAGTAGCTCTATGAACTTCAATAATTTAGTTACTTAATCTCTCTAAACTTCATTTTCTTTATCTATAAAATGGATAACTTTGTGGTGAAGACCAAATAAACTTACAAAAGTTAAGTGCCTATCATAGTATGCATGTTTAGAATTTGGCATTTTGTATGTACTTGGTTTACCTTCATCTCTAGGCTTCTTAAAACTCTAAACATGCATATTTTTCCATTCTGAAAGGCATCAACATTGTTTGCACTGACACATGCCATATTTCTGTTTGCTGGGTAAATGCTGGCAATTGGGACACTTCAATGTGTAGGCATATTCTTTACATTACGTTTGAAAACCCACTCCTTATATTTAGTAAGAAGTGTAGTTAGTTGCCAAAGGAGGATATCTCTAGTAAGCTGAAACAGTGGCTTCTAGTGATTAAGAGTACAAGCTGTAGACTCAGAGCTCCAGCTTTGACCTATGCTAAGCTACTCAGAAGCTTTATGATATTGGCCAAGTAATTTCACTCCCAAATCCCTATTTCTTCTCCTGTAAAATGATAGAGATAGCAATACTTGCTATTTCTTTGGTTGTCCTGAGGAGTGAGTGGGATCATGTATGTGCAGTCCTTAACTCAGTGCAGGACACATAGTAGTAGCCAGTTTTTATTGATCACTTACTGATAGCATTGTTAGCATGTTAGAAACGGAAATGTAGACTTGAATACATATTTACATGCCTCAGAGGTCTCAGACACAAAAAAACCAATCTGTATGAAGTATTTATTAATCAAATGGACTGTGTCTTAAATGTTCATAGAAAAGCAGTTGGGTTTTATTCTGATTTTGTCACTTTACCAATATTTAAAGATATGTAATTACATGTGAATATACATTAGGGCTTTGGAGGCAGAATTCAGTAAAGCTTAGTGAGAAGGCTTAAAGTTGCAGAAAGTCAACTCAAAGACACTTAAAAAAAGAAGAGAGAGTTGTTATGTCACACAGCTTGAAAAGTCTGGGATTTAAAAAGTCTGATATGACTAGATCAGGGTAATCTCACAGAGTCACTAAAAATCAGTTTTACTGTATCACTTAGTTTTCTTTTATTCTCAGAAAGTCTCTCCCATCTGGTAACAAAGATGCTGTCAGTAGCTGTGCATTGATGTCCTGCCAGGCTGGCAGCCCCTGCGGACATTCTTTTTCTTAAAGATTCCAGAAAAAGCGCTAGGGTTGCATCTCTTTGGGCCAATTTTGATCACTTGCCTGGTTGTACACCAGTCAGTATATGGATTACATATGTGGGATGTGTGAGTGGAGAGTCAGTCCACCTGTGGAAAAATGCAGTTAATGTGGCAGCCACTCAGTCCCTTTGTAGGGGAAATCAGAAAGAAAGGAGAGCTCCCACTTCTGGGTTATATATTGCTAAAGCAGTCATTTTACTTCTCTCTCTCTCTCTCTCTCTCTCTCTCTCTCTCTCTCTCTCTCTTTCTCTCTTATCTTTCTTTCTTTCATTTCTGAAGCGTTATTTTATAATCTGAGCTTTATGTTGTTGGTTTTCCATCAGGCAGTTTTGGCAAGAGGCAACACAGACCCTGTTTTTAGCCCCTGTTTTACCAGATCACAGCCCTTCCCCATTGCTAGTACAAATATTAGGTTTCCATGTGGAGGAATTCTGTAGACTGTTTAAACCTGTGATATTCAGTGAGCAGCCACATGACCTGAAATAAATTCCTCATTCTTGTAACTGAGCATGCTCTTTGCTAGTATGCTCAGGTCCTCTGCCTCTCTCTGTAGCTACTGGAGCACAGGGACTTAAAATTATGAGTGTTGCTGAAGCTGCACTGCGGTCATGTGATGGAGATGTTTATTTTGAGTGAGACATTTTGCTAGCTCAGGTCATCAGAGGTTGTAATTGTATAAATAAAGGGAATGCTGCTTTCCTTCCTATACTGCTGCTGTATTTTTCCAGTGAATGTATTTAGCCTAAGGGCTGATTGCTTGTGGTTTGGAAAAGACAGGACTTTTTTTTTTTTTTTTTTTTTTAAGTAGCCAGAACTGAAGTAAACTTCCTCAGGATAGCTCCAGCTTTATCCTCAAATTCCATTTTATGTTTCAATGAAAAAAAGAAGCTGCTGTTAACAAGAGTGCTGCAGACTGCTCTTTCTGCTCTGGTTCTGATCATACCCTTAAGCCACGGTTCTTAAGTCTGCTCTGAGTTGTGGAAATGATTTCTGGTGGCCACTCAGTAAGACCTGAGGACTTGGAGGCACAGATTTTTTTGATGGCCAGTCCGGTTTAGGGGTTGCTATGTAGTGGCTCACAGGAGCTAAGGGTGAATATTGAGTTTCCTATTTATTTTACCTTTTCTCTCCAACCTTTTGCAATGGTTCTGGGCTATATTAGGGTATCCAAGATTTAATTAATTAGATTTACTCCTGAAAAGCAAGATTACAGAAGATGGAAAGTTAGTGCCAGATTTAGGATTATATAACTTGAAATATGAATATGATATAACATGAATATAAGAAATATTCCCCAGTCATTCAAAATTCAAGATATAGCAAAAGGTCTCTTTCTACATCGTCTGATAGCCAGAAGTCAGGATCCAATGTTATCAGTTTGTTTTGTATCTTTGCAGTTATTTTATGCATGAACAAGCAATTCATGTGGAGACACACACACACACACACACAGAAAGACTCAGGGGCAAAGGAAGCCTCTGTATGGTACCGCAGATCAAAGACATTTCAGAGGCATATTAATCAAAAGGGTATTGGAGAAGGGATGTGTGGGGAGCCTGCATCTGAATCCCATTGTGGGACCCAGTGAGTTCTGAGCATAGCTGCCAGAGCTGCCTGTTAAGAGGGGAGCAGGGATCCAGGAGTGCTGACAAATGGAGTTATCCCAATTTATCAGGGATTTATGTGAACAGGAAGAGAACTAGAAAGAATCTTTAGGTTTTCCTGGCTGAACATGGGAAGGCCTACAACCCAGGTGGTGGTGAGGTTATCATTCCTTCTTCATGTGGTTAGGACCTTAGAAGGGAGGGATTTCACTTTCTCAGCAGGAGCAATCAGAATGATGGACTCTGGCCACAGAGCAAGAGCTTGGAACATTTTATGTGCTCAGACATGGACAGGCCTGGGAAGAAGATTTTTATTATTCTTGCTTTTATAAATATACTTTTTTCATTAGTATAAGAAATATACTTCAATCATTCAAAATTCAAGAATCAAGAGGATATATAGCAAAAGGTCTCCTTCTATACCTGTCTGATAGCCAGCAGTCAGGATCCAATGGTATCAGTTTGTTTTGTATCTTTGCAGTTATTTTATGCACGGACAAGCAGTTCCTGTGGAGACACATACACACACACACACACACACACACAGAGAGAGTTTACAAATTCTCACTATTCTAAACCTTTCTTTTAAAAATGTACCAGTCTTAGAGTTCTTTTCATACTAAGTATAATAAGAACAACAAAAACTTCCTCATATATACTTATGTCTGCATATTTTCTACGGACTATGCCTTAATGAATTTAACCAGTTCTCTTTGGTAGACATTTGTTTCCAAGTTTTTGTGGTTACACATAATACTTTTAGCGAATAATCTCAAACGTGTGTGAGGCTCTTGAAGTGGAAATGATGGGTCAAGAGTACATGCACTTGATATATTTCCAAATTGCTGTCTATAGAGTATAGAGGTTATTTCTTTTTTAATATATTTATTTTTTTAGGTGTAGATGGACACAACATCATTTATGTGGTGCTGAGGATCGAACCTGGGTCCCACCCACGCTAGGGGAGTGCTCTACCGCTGAGCCACAATCCCAGCCCCAATATAGAGGTTATTTCTACCATCAATAAAATGCCAGGACAATATTAAATTGGAATAAAGGAAGAGGAAAAGAAAAAAACTAAGGATAATTGTGAACCAGTTTAACTAGTAGGAAGGGAAGGAAAAGCTATGATTGTGGGAGGTCCTGAGTAGTTTCACATAGAAAAGAACCTTAAAAATGAACTTTGATGATTGGCAAAGCAGGATTAACAAACTGCATAAACTGAGATTACAACATAGAACAGCAATTACAATCTCATAAATATAACCTGAACATCATGATGTGGGACCCAAGAATGGATAAGTCACTTGCAAAAAACAGCTTTAAAAGAGTTTGTGAGGTGGGAGAAAAACATTTATGGTAAGAGAGGAGATGGGCCAGCCCTGAAGATAAAGAATTAGAAAGCTAAATTTAAGTGTCACATGTGATGATACACACATACCAGGAAACAATAACAACATGTGGTTAGGGAGAACTAAGGGTTATGGCTTGGCAGTGTTGGGTGTATCACATTGTCACACAAAGCAGAGGAAGAAAAATAGATACATTTCTGTTATACATCCCCAAACTGATCAGATACAGACAAGGGGCAGTAATGGAGGGAAAGGGGCAACAATTATTTGGATAATTCCTAAAAAGTCTTCACTTGAATACTGAAGTATTTGAAAGTTTTTTTTTTCATTTATTAGGATCTACCTAAAAAGGAATAATATAAAACTGGGAAAGCTGCCCTTCTAGCTACAAATTTGAAGCAAAGGGAGAAAGTGCTTTAAGAAGGAAACGTGTGTTAAGAGTGAGTGGTCATTTTTATTTGAAAGTTCATGTAATTGAGCAAGGTGAAAACTAGGCACAGACAGACATGCACTTTGAAAGTTTAGAAATAAAGAATCTGGGGAACTCTAGAAGAGAAGATTCAATGATATTGAGCTGCTGAAAAAAATAATATAGTTCTCACTGTGCCACCTCACAGATAGTATCAATAAAAAGGAAGGACTTAACAATACCTTGAGAGAAACTAGATTTTAAAGGGACCTATACAAAAGATAGAAAGGAAATTTACTAGACAAATAAAAGTGCACCTGCATGACCAGTATCAGGAAGGGCAAACTCCCAACAAAGAATAGTGCTGCTGAGGACAATAGAAAGTCTTTTTAAAAGGTATGGTTTTATTTTTAATAAGATCAAAGAAGAATAGGCTTGATCCTTCTAATGCCTCTGACAGGTGCAAAGAACTTAGGACAGCAGTCCCAAAGCTGTTTTTTGCAAGTGACTTTTGAAGGAGTTAAGGAAAATCAAGTGAGTTGCTGGGAAACTAAAAGTGAACCCTTCTTGATTTTTAAAATAGTGAAAATAAAAATTTAGATGGGTTCTGTAAAACTTGCTTTATTGGGTTTGGAGTCAGCCCTCTAATGATTTATGGGAAACTATAAGAAAAAGTAGGAATCTGTGTCCACTACGAGTGAATCACTTCAAATTCGACCTCATTGGTGTGGTTGGGAGTGTGTCTTATGGTTGTAGACCAGGAAGGTCCACACTTCAGTGGGGCATTGCAAAACTTTGCTTGGGATGGTCTTTTGGACAAGGCAAAGAAATATAGACTGGGTGCTAAAATAGGTCTATTGACATCTGAATGAGCATAGGGTTGGGGACACGTTATCATGTATGCGTCATGCCTAATGTGTAGGTCACTTGTACATGGCTGTTGACACGTTTGGCTGTGTGCATGGGGGAGTTAGCATGTGTAGCATGGACACTTGTGTGGAAGGGAGGTGTCTTTCTTTGTGCCCCTATTATGTGCCTGTCTTTGCTGTTGCTTCTGCTTGGGTGAAGCAATCTCAAAGACTGTTCATCTCAGATGTTGACATGGAAGGATGGCCATTCAACATAGCACAAAGGAGGTGTCAGGAGTTTGCTCAAACTGGAAGAAAGGCTATAGATACAGCAAGTCTCAGGAAAAATGCCACGTCTTTTGGTTCCTGAGAAGAGAATGATCTACCATGGACAGTGACTATTGGGGGCACCCGCTGCTTACCCTCTGTATACTTCCTTCCATGTTGCTCTCCACAGGAGTTCTGCCTCTGTTCACTGACCTTGAGTGCTTTTCTCTTCTTTCTCTTCCTTCCCACAGTCAGTTCTGAATGTGATCAGTGAGCTGCAGGAGCAGATGTGTAGGCTGCAGATGGACATCCACAGGCAGATCCAAGAGCGCCTCTTACTCAGTAGGGACCACTCTGAGGAGGTGGCGGCCAGCAGCTGTATGGCTGAGCCCCAGCCCTGCAGCCAGAACTGTGCCCCTTGGGAGGGTTCACCTGTAGGAACATACTTAAGTATATCAGAGCATGCGTGTGTGGGGCATTTCATTGCTGGAGGGCTGGGGTTTCTCTTCTAACCAGTACAGAGTGCAGTGGCTTAGCATGGATCTGGTATTAACTTGGATCAGAGATTGGACTGTTCAGTCCTCTTGTGATGTGAGGTGAGCTCTGAGAACCTTACTAAGCATGGTCTGAGCAAGTGAGTCAGCCCTCCAACAGGAATGAGGTGTGTCAGATTCTCTGAGTAATGGGGTATCTATGCAAAAGGTAATCTTGGGAGTCTCCGCCCCAAGATTCAGTCACATTCTTCCTCCTGCACTGGAAGATTAAATGGAACTGCATTTCACATGATTCTCCTTTTTTAAAGGAAAAAACAGTATTATGAAAAAGAATCAAATTATGTTTAAAGAGGTTTAGCCCTAGTGGGAAAATAGAACACAAATTTTCATTTGCTGATAACAAATCATCACCTGAATTTCCAGGAAAAAAGATACCCCACATAATCACATTAGAGTAATTTCATGACCTGGAGGTCATGCCTGGGGCCATATGCCAAAGAAGTCACAAGAGCGTGGAGAGCATAACCTCTGCGTCCCCATAGTGGTATCCTCTACTTTTCCTATTGTGCCATCTGTCATGCCCTCTCAGGAACAACAGAAGAACCCCCATTGTAGGGATTGGAGGGATTGGAGCACCACAGGCAGGACCAATAATGTTCCTAGTTGTTGAAAGTTGAAACAGGCGACTGAGACCTTGAAGTCTAACAATGTGGATCATGGACACAATAACTTGAGTTTATAAGACATTTTTTTCTTTTTAAACAGGTGTTACCAATGTTCACCTCAGCTATAAGGCAATCTTAACAAGTTCCCCTACAAAATTTAAGTGTAAGCAATGTCACTTTGCAGCAGAGTGTTTCAGAATGCAAAGAACTCAGGTGTTCATTCATTGATAAATAATGCATATCTACTATGTACCAGAACCTGCTGGTAAACACTTAGTAGATTTAAAGTATAGGCGAACTAGCTAATAACAATCACATGGAGAAAGAGATCAGGAAGAGGGCAGGCTAGGCTGACTGCATTAGTTTATGAACTTTGAGAAGCAAGGGAATATGGTGAACAGATTTGTGTTTTAATCCTATTGTTCCCCTGGATGCTGTAGAAGTCATTGATTGCAACAAAGGAACAATCAATGAAGAGACTGTGAGGCTACCAACATTCATTGCTATAGGAGAGAAATGAGATATTCCGGTTATTCTTTTGGAAGTGAAACTGATAAAGGCCTGGAAATAAATTACATATGTAAGGGAAGAGGGAGAAAGAGATACCAATTGCTCAGGCAAATAGATGGATGAAACAAATGACTAAGATGGGGAATTAAGAATTCCACTTGGAACATGACAGTTCTGAGATGCCTGGGTAACATCTGCATGGAAATGTTAAGTAGGAAGCTTGTGATGTGAGTTTGGAATTCAGAAAGCCTATGGAGATAATGATTTTTATGCCAGTTCATCTGATAGGGAATCTTGGTTCAAGACCACAAAGCTTAGTGATATCTTCTTATTGGAGTAATTTAAAAAGCAAGGGCCCTAACGTCAGAAGATATGGGCTTGAATTCCAGCTCTACCACTTGCTAGCTATATGAACACAGGCAAGTTGTTTTAATATCCTTTCTCCACTCAGCCACTGTCAGTGGCTTCCTACCATTCAAAGGATGGCATCAGAATTCCTTATAGTTTCATCTGAAAGCCTTTATAATAAAGCCCCATCTTCCCAGCCTCATCTCCCACTGTGTGCTGACACCCATCCAGCCCAACACAATAATAGGTTGTCTCCCTTTCTGTCTTCTGCCTTTCTCCTAACCCCCATGTACCTTTTTGCTCTCTTCTTTTTTCATACTAACCTCCTACTCTGAATTAAAACTCCATACTGGGTGTCTACATTTGACACTTAGCATTTGTTCTCTTGGTGTGTCATTTCTATCCTGCTTTCACTTCCTCTGTGAAACCTGCGAGGGTCACTGATCTCTACTCTGCCCTACCTGCTGTTCCTCCAACTTCAGCACAGAGAGATGCTCGCAATTAACCCGCTTCCTGCTCCTTTGCCTAAATTGCGAGGGGGGAAAAAAAACACTTTTGTTTGGCATCTCTGGTCCTCTCATGCTTGAGTCTTACTTTCCAGGCTCCCTACACACCTGTGCATGAATTGGGTATACCCCACATAGGACATAAATGTAGAGAAAAGGGCAGACAGAGCAAGTTCTAAAAATAAAACAACAGTTTTCTTATACCTGGAGCTCTGTGGCCTTTGTTTTTAACACAGCCACAAAGCTTTGCCTGAAACACAAACTGTTTAAAAATGGACGCTGCAGTGTAGAGCTTGATGTGGTTACTGCTGCCCCTGGCATTGTCTTTGCATGAACTTAACCAGGTTTGGAGACTCAGAGCCTGCCCTTTAAACATTAGAACTTTGTCTTTCTCCCCCTTCCTTCTAGGAATTACTACAAGAGCTCAAGCACCTCAAAATCAAAGTGGAAGAGTTGGAAAATGAACGGAATCAATATGAATGGAAGCTGAAGGCCACTAAGGTAAAAGGCAGATGTGATGCTCACAGGGAGGGGTTCTGTGGGGAGGATTATGGTTCAAACCCAGGGTTTCCGGCTGGGTTGAGTACTTGCCTAACATGCCTGAGGCCCTGGGTTCAATCCCCAGTATCTCAAAACCTCAGGGTTTCCAGCAGCCTAAGTTTGAAAATGCAAATCAACCCCTCTAGCTTGTGCAACAGATGGATTGGATCCAGGGTGGCTCCTCATGGAGAGCCTGGGAGATGATGAGCTGCTGAAATATAGTAATGAGTTTACTTCCTCTTAGTACATAGCTGACATTCACTGAGAAGGGGCCAGAAGGGAGTGAGAAACTGAGTGAGCCAGAGAGTGGTTAGTCATAAAGCACATGAGCATCAGTGTTATATTGTGTGCATTGTTTTAAACTTAGCAGTCCCCTTTTATAATTAATTTTTCAAAAAGTCACATGCATTATATTTAGGAATGAATCTATTCCTAAAATGATATAAACTTTGAGTTTTTTTTCCATCAAATCACATTTCTATTAAACTTGGAGAGGTTGCTATGTAAAGGACACCATGAATAAATTCTATTGTGAAATAAAATATATTCCCTTCCTTTATTTCTTCTGTTTGCAGTGTGGAGATTAAAACTAGTTGAATTTAGCTCACAATTTTTTTTTGCCTGCATATTATATTTTAAAATGCCAAACTAATTTCATTTAAACATCAGGAAATTTCACATTAAAATACAGTTAGGCTGTTTTTAGTTCTTAAAGGAATTTAATGTACAGCAATCTATAATATATTTCAAAAAACTAGAAGAGTACAAAAGTTTCCAACACAAAAATGGTTAACATGTGAGATGAAATTTCTTATACCATGATTTGATTATTATACATTCTATATACATATCAAAGTATCATACTTATCAGGCTATACCCTATAAAGATGTGCAAATATTAGGTTTCAGTAAAAAAAAAAAAAATACAGTTGGGCTTTTTTTAAGGAGGTAGAGGAAGCTCTTCACAACCCTGGAAAACATTCCTGCTGGGGGGAGCCTGGTAGCCTTTCCCCTTGGCTAGATGACACACCTGCCTTTCCCTAGGATTCTGCAGTGCCACCCACAGTTGTTACTGGATGGTCCCTGTAGGCATTTTAATTTTCACTTATTAGAGTTTTAAAAGTATTTCTTAGAGTTTTATTAAACTACAGTTTGTATTTTTATTTTTCTACAAGTTAATTGCTAATGATACTTTCACAAAGAGTTTTCACACCATAAAAAAAATTAAAGGAATTGGCCAGGCATTGTGGCACACTCCTGTAATCCCAGCAACTTGGGAGGCTGAGGCAAGAGGATCGCAAGTTCAAAGCCTTTCTCAGCAACTTAGTGAAGCCCTAAGCAATGTTGTGAGACCTGCAAGAAGCCATTTGTGAAATACATGGATCTTCTTTCAGTATGGAAGCCAGGGAGAGAGAGGCCTGGGATTGGGAACTTTCCATGGCTCTCCCACGGCCACAGATTGCCCAATGCACGTGACCTTTCCCTCTGCTCTGCTAGGAAGATTTCTTATAGTAGTTCCAGAGATGGGTAGAACCCATTAGGAACTGAACAGCCCACCTTTAATCTTTTTTGGAAAAGAACATTCTGTAGAATCTCTTTGATGTTTCCCAATATAAATAAAGCAGGCATGGGCCTCATTTTGTCTAGAAGTCTGATCAGCTTGCCTGTCCTCTCCCTGCTTTTGAAACGACTTTCTGTGTTCTGTGGTTTTTTTTTTTTTTTTTTAAGTTTTATTTCTCTTAGCTTTTATTTCTCAGCCAGTCCATTCCACCGAGGGGAACCCCATTCCCACTACCTATGCGGGACGTGGGCAAGAAAGACCCTGTCTCATAATAAAAAAATAAGAAAGTTCTGGGGATGTACTCAGTGGTTAAGCGCTCCTGGGTTTAATCCTCAATACCAAAAAATAAAGAAATAAAAAATGCTCAGCCGTCCTAGGAGGTACCCTGTTAATATTTCCTTCCAGATAGTTTTTTCTTTCTTTTTGTGTCTTCCCTCTCTGTTTTTTTTTTTTCCTTTCTCTCTCTGTTTCTGATGTTGATAATTTATATACAATTTTTTACCTTTTTTTAATTTAAAATTTTGCAATTTCCCATATAGTGAAAGAAAATACTGAACATGATGTTAATATCTCCCTAATATTCTAACATATAAATGTAAAATAACTTGCTTAACCATTTCATAAATGATAAAAAGGAGGCAGAGAGAGGTAAGTAAGTCTCCCAGAATTTTTTTTTTTGGGGGGGGCAGTAACTGGGGATTGAACTCAAGGGCATCAACCACTGAGCCACATCCCCAGCCCTATTTTGTATTTTATTTAGAGACAGGGTGGCACTGAGTTGACAGATTGCTTTTGCTGAGGCTGGCTTTGAACTCATGATCCTCCTGTTTCAGCCTCCTGAGCTGTGGGATTACAGGCATATGCCACTGTGCCTGACTCTTTCAAGATCTTATAGCTAGTCAGGACCAACCTGGATGATGGGGTCCATCTGCCCACCTGTCTGTTGATGTCTGATGATGGCCTTGGATGTGCTATGTTTCACAGTCACCAATTCTAAGAGCATTGTGTTTGTTCAGTAGCCCAAAACCTTCTATCACAGTGCTCCACTCAAGCAAGTCCTGTCTTGGTGAAACCTTTGAAGTTGTGCATACCACCTTGTTGTAAACCAAGTGGCTCTTTTCTTCTTAAATTACCCAAGCTCTTTGCCTTGGCTCATAGACCTGTGAGATGCTCTAGGCTATTTAATAGTTGCCAGGTATGGAGTTCCAACTGTGTGCTGGAGTGTACTGATCCCTTTTCAGACTTTTTTTCATTAATTCAAAAAATAACCCAATGGGGAATATTTTGTTATTCTGATTTGGCTGGTAAGGAAAGAGTAGCTTAGTTTGGCCAAGACGAGATTACTGCTGTCTTTTCCTGCATCAACAGTGAAATCCTGCACTGGTTTTGGAAGTTCTTCAGTTTTCTGCTTAAACTTTCTCAGTTTCTAAAGGTAGATCACTTTAGTTCTCTTAGGGACTGCCTTTAAAGTAGAATATGACCCCTGGGTTTAATGAGGCCTGGCACTTGCAGGTACCCAGAGCACCCATCTCTGCCTGCCTGCTAGTCTGCCTGGCTATCTCAGGCCTCTTGCTACACAGTTCTTACTTCTGTAGTGAGGCCGCATACTTTGCCCTAATGGTCAGGGAGAGAGCTTCTGGGCTATTGTTGGCTGGGGTCCTGTGGGGACAGGTACCATTCTAAGGGTAACAGAGTGCCTGTGATTTCTGCCCCGTTCTGTGGTCTGGCACAAGGGAGGTTTGGCTATGTCACTTGTCTGTAGGGTTCACAGTATATATATAAGTGTACTCACCTAGAGGCAGGCCTCAGGAGAGAGATCTCAGAGTGCCAGGATCTGGGGTCTGTCTCAATAGACCTGCACCACTGAAGTCAAACTGTGGGCCTAGCAGATAAGCATAAGGGATTCAGATTCGTAATAGAGATCAACACCTACTCTGTTCACAAAGGAAGGGAGAAATGGGGAAGGATATGTCCAAGAAAGGGTAAGAGATTATCTTCCAAGAATAGGCTGGCCCTTACAGAAATGAGAGGCATTTGGGTTGAGAGTCTCAAGGGCAAGCAGAAGCCACTGTCACCATTATCTATAACCCCATGGGCACCTAGGCCCTGAGTGAGCCAAGAAAACCTGCTTCATGGCTGTGCATATCAGCAAGCAGCTTGACCTAGCCATACTTGGCTCTCTGCCTCTGTGGAAAAAGATCAGAACAGGGGACAAAGCTCCATAGTGAATTTTGCAAAAAGAAAACCGTACCCATCATGGTCTCTTCGTCCTCTACGTGGTCATACTGTCCCATTTGGGGGGTGTGAAGGAAGGTTTATTCAGAAACCCTCAAGGTGGGCTCACAGACCCCAAGCCTCAGAAGAGTGTCTGTCATCTACTCTATTAACTAAGAAGCAGGTATCTGAGGGTTGCATCCTGGCCTGTTCACTGAGTCACTCTTTGTTTTCTACACTGAATCCTGTACTGTCCTGTGTTTCTCCCCAGGAAACGGGAGGGTAAATATTGTGGGTATATTGATGTAAGAAAATAGCAGGGGCTGATGCAAGGTGCATGCTGAAACTGGACACAAGACCTTTGGGCAGAGGAGCCACCAAAAAGACTGGTGCTCATGTGGTTACTTTGGGAAGTTCAAAGATTAACTTGTGACTGTGGGAAAGGACAGTCAGTATTATGCCTTTAGGATCAGAGTTGGGACATGATTAGGGTGCTCGTGGGAAGTCTAAGTCTCATGGGTCAGTCTTTTCTGTGTGTTCCATTGTTCAGGAGTCAGTTCTGACCCCTTTTTAAATTTGTTTTGATGCTCACAGAAATGAGCTGATTATCCATAAGGGAAAGAATAGGATAAGAGGAGCAACATTGGTAGCATTTTTTGAAAACTTAACATGCACTAAGTTGCTCATAACCATTATATTAGTTAATCCTCACTAGAGTCCCAAGAGGAATGTGCTATTTCCCCCATTTTATAGATGAACTGAGGCTCAGAAAGATTGAATTACTTGTCATATGTCATCCAACTAGGACATGCGAGAATCCAAATTTGTTCGAATCCAAAGTGAAGGTGCCTCTTGTGATGGGACAAACAATTTTATTCTTTTAATGAGTATGGGAAAGTATGGACAAACACATCTAGTATGTGAAATTTAACCTACTAAACTTAGTACTTGGGAACCATCCAGTGCAGCTGCCCATGTGTGTACATATATGAATGCACATATTGCTTTTTTTTTTGCAAACATTTATGCCAAACACACCGAAATGCTTGTATGTATGTATATTTGGGCAAGTATGCAGATGTGCCTACAGGCTGGGCAGAGGCATTAACTGTGCCCAAAAGTGTGAGAACATCCAGGGAGGGAGCCTTTGGCTCACGCTTTACCCACCAGTGGTATTTTGATTTCTACTGTATTTCCTGTACCGGGAGTAGGGAGATGAAGCTGCATGCACTTGTTACAGCAGCATATCTAAGTGCTGTGGCTTGAGTATTTTGGGATAAGGAAGATCACATCTAAAATGAGAATGTACAAGTCTGAATCAAGGACTGCACCCTCACATTTACCACAATTACAGCTCCTGTGGTCTCAAGGGTACCTTGGCCTCAGTGAGCAGAGGAGAAAAAGAGCCTGGTCAACTAGGAGGATGCAGGAAAAAAAAAAAAGCAGGTTGATGATCAGAAAGAGTGAGTTTCTTTGGCAGAGTTCCACACTGTGGGGAGGGCAGAGAGCCCTCCTACTTCTATTGCCTCTTTCCCTCACTCTTGTCCTAGGGCCCACTGGGTTCTGGGATCAAACATGAGACGCTTCATCATAGTTTGGAAGTTGTTCTGACTTGCAGGGAATTCTCTATTGTTTTTCCAGGCTGAGGTGGCCCAGCTACAAGAGCAAGTGGCTCTGAAAGATGCAGAAATTGAGCGTCTGCATAGCCAGCTCTCCCGGACCACAGCTCTTCACAGTGACCATGCAGAGAGAGGTGACTGGATTGACTATGACAGAATGCAGTTGTTCTGGGCCCACTCTTATAAATGGGCATGTGTATCTATGAATGAGTGTGCATATGCTTGTGTATGTAGTTATGCCATTGTGCACTTTCATGCATGTATGTGTCTGAGCATGCCCAAGTGAGTGGATGCACATATGTGTGCATGTGTGGGAGCCTGTAAAGCACAACTCTGTTGTAGAATCATGTCACTGACTCTTCTGTATCCAGAACACACAGCTCTGAATGTTTTTCTCAGGTATACAGCGTTCATTGAAGCTCTGTGCAGCCCTCTGAAGCTTTTACTGAGAATGTAGCAAATACCTGACTCTTCCTTTGATTAAAAGGCCTTGTTTCTGTGTTATCCCCAAAGAGGAGGCTTATAAATTCATCCCACCTGACAGCTGTACAAGGCCCTAAGGTTACAGAAGCAAATCAATTTATTCTCATCCTTTATATCTCAACTTAAATGTCATTTCTCAGAAAGACCTTTCCTGACTACCCAACTACAAGATGATGCCCCTACTCCTTTTATTCTCTGAGAATTCTTCATGTTTACTTCACAGTACTTATTATAACTTATGAGTATTATATTTGAGGAGATCTTGTGATGATCTTCACTCTGACATGACAAGGATGGTATCTTTCTTGTTTAGGAATATATTTACAGAGCCCAGCACTGTATTCAGCCCATGGTAACCTCCAAAGTAAAGTAATTGAATAAGGATGGTGAATGGTCCCTGAGGAGTTTAAATCTTACTGATTGAAAATAGAGGATAAATCTTCAAATACTCCAATTAATGCATTTTATCTTTATGTTATTTGCGATGTATACAGAATGATTACACACATTCCAGCTTCTCCAGTTGCCACCAGGCTGTAGAGCAATACTGTTGGAGATCATATTGTCCTATGGATTGGTGCCATTGTAGAGTCTCATCTTGGCCTCAGCACTGCTTAACTTGAATCTCCAACTGATGTGGAAGCCATGCAACCATGCATCAGTGGCTTAGACTTAAAAAAGAAATTAGTGACCAATATGTTCATTCCTGCTCTAGCTTTTCATTGGTATCCTCCAATTGGGTGTCATGTACCTGCCAAGGCCTACCTGTGGAGACTGGGAAGTCGTGAACTATGCCAAACCTTGGCAGAGAGTTCCTGGCCATGACTTCTAGGACAGGCAGGCAGCCTTCCCTCTCTACCCCATGCTTCCCTGCAGTCCAGGCTTTCCAGGACCTGCCCCAGTCAATTTTCAGGTACCTCCTAGAGATGGTCCTTTAGTTGTTTGCTGCTCAGGTTGGGTTCTGGCTACAAATCCAAGTTTGACAATCTTTATCTGTAATTTACCTCCTATCCCCACCTCCTGGCAAATTAAGCTACAGAGTTGATGTCAGCTGCCAGCCTAAGATAATGAGCAAACACATTCTACTTCACCCTGAAAATGAGCTCCACAACTATTCACACAAAGTCCATACATCTACTGTTGCTACTCTCATTGAATATAACAAGCATCCCAAAGGAAATAGGATGGATGCCTATACTTCTGTTCCCTTGTCTTGTCTTATACAGACATCCCTAATCCCTTTGCAGTATCCACTTTAGGAATAGGTATAGATTCTTATTCAGAAAAACCAGTTATATATCATCCCTAGACTTCTAAGTATCTGGCAAATGACCTCCAGCTTCTTTAGACATTAGCCTTTGACCTGGTTCTTCAGACAAGTTTGGGAAGAATTCAAACGGGTCCCTCATGGGTCTAAAGTGAGAAAAAAATATGGGTTTTCTATCACAGACCAACACAGAGCCCTCAGCCCACAGGGAAATTCTGTAGGTTTATAATGAAACAAGATTATTTTCCCTTAATGGTAGAGATTGTTTAATATATTTATTTATGTATCTGAACATTTGAAAATTCTGATTATACTATTTGAAATTAAGTTGACTACCCCAAACTCTTACATAATCATTTTTCTCAGTATCCATTTAGATGTAGATTTTTATTTTTCTTATTTTAAATTCTCCTCTACTTATAGTCTGTTTCTTAAAATAAGAAAAAGAAAAACAAGCTAGCAGCCTAGACATATGCCTATGAGAATAAGAATATCTGCCTTCTTGGGAGAGGTTGATTGTAAAAGATTTTTGGTTCTTCTGTGTCACTTTTGCATAAATGGCATTTTTATTTTTCCCATGAATGTCTACAAAGAGAAGACAAAATACCAGGTTCATTCACTTAATAGTCAAACAAATATTTTATGAGACTAACTGTGTACCAGATACCATCCCAGGCTCTTTAAAGAAACAATCCAAGTTCACATAACAAGTTTGAACTTGAGTGGCATCTTAACATATGTTGATAGCTGTTTGTATTTATACAAATAATCCTTTCTTTGCCTAAATTCTTTTAGATCAAGAAATTCAACGTCTGAAGATGGGGATGGAAACACTGCTTGTTGCCAATGAAGATAAGGTAAGATAGCCATTGTCCTTTCCCTGATAACACCTCTAGCTCTGTTTGTTCCTGTTGCTCTCTGGTACTAGACAGAGCTGTGTCCCTTGGGCCATCAACAGGCAGATGCCAGGAAGATAGCTTCTGCCTCCTAGAGACTCAGTTTCAGCACCTGTTTTGGATGCCTGGGAACTTTGCCTAAATGGAATCTTTCAAAGGCAAATTAAAGCCCTGCCTATTTATGCTAGTGTCGGGGAAAAATACTACTATGGTTAATGCCAATGTAATAGCTCCTGCTTTGATTCCTAGCAAAACTCAGAAACGGTCCACCAATATTCGTGTATACAATCTTTTTTTATACAAGTATCATAAAGACACTGGGTAACATGCAATACCTTGGTTTACCCTGCCACCTTATATTCTTCACACCTCATTCTTGCATAATCATAAATAAACACACCTATAAATAAAAAGCACCTAGATAATGTAAACATCATCTGTAAGGATCCTTTCCCCAGGGTCAGGTAACTAGTGGAGAGCAGAGCCAGGGTTCACACCCAATGGTGTCTGACTCCAAGATCTTTGTGGTCTCCCAAGTTGGTAGACCCTTGCTTGAAAGAACCTATCCCCTCTGGAAATTTCTTCTGTATGTGAGTATCTCTGACACCTAAGGAAGAGGTGAATATATCAGGTTAAATATGACAGCTTTTTTTTTTTTAGTCTTTTTTCTGTGCAACTTCAGAGGGTAACACTGGAGCAGGAGGCAGACTTTGTTGGTGGCTACTTCAGGGAGGTAGGGGGCAGAGAGTTTCATGCTTCTGAAATGTTTAAGACCCTTGAAGGATATGTCAGTGATTGTTGGCCCACAACCTTCAGATAGAGTCATGAGTATCAGACCTCTGGGACCCTGTTCCATGGGATGGACCTTGACTCTTTCCCTTTGGGATGCTCCAGAAGTTCCATGTGGGTTTTCTTCTTAATGTGCCCAGAATATAGCTGGGTCCCAAAATGAAATCCAGTAGTGGTGCTAATCTAAATCCCTTGCATGATGGCAGGACCGTCGGATAGAGGAGCTCACAGGGCTCTTGAACCAGTACCGAAGGGTGAAGGAGATCGTGATGGCAACTCAAGGTAAGAACAAGAGCAAGTCTTCCATTTTCCCTGAACAGTATTTTATCTGCTAAGTCAAATCCAGGGGTAATTCTGCCAGATGATTCTTTATCTCCAGTTGGAGAAAATCTACTGGAGAATGAAGCTTTTTGGACTCTCCTTGATAGTGGAAAAGTGGAATTTGTTGATTCCAAAAATGTTATCAAGTGATAGTCAGCTCATAACTTCCAGGGACTGTGCAAATCATCAAGAAAATAAAATCTTCAACTTTTTTACCTGGGAATTTCCACCCTTAGAGGATATTCTACACGTGTCAGAATACCCTTTAGAATGGAAACAAACCTGGATCAGAAATAAGTGTTCCCATTGGAGAGTAGAGCTTGTCTTCCTCTTAGAGAACCTAGAGCTCCTCCAAGGACACCTGGGAGTCTTCCGTGCATCACCAGGTGCCTGGTTTTTACAAGAAATTACTGGACAGGGAGAGCTGTTGTTTCATATTTGCCACCAATACTGCTATGATATGCAAACACATTTGTGTTCTTATAGGCACAGTGTAGCATATGCTAGGCTGCCTGCCTTGTCTGCACTCATGCCATTGACCTCAGCCCCCATCACAGATCCTGAAAAGGCAGCAGTTTCACAAGAAAGGAATTCAGGAATCTCTGCTTCTGTCTCTTCTTGAGAAGAAGCCATGCCTCTGCCAGGATTGTGGCTAACAAGTCACTGCTGAGGACATCTTCCAGTCCCCCCACAAATGTTACAGATTTCTTTTCTCTAATCCTTTGGGATCTTAGTCCAAGCCTCTGTCAGGACCTGATTGTCCCCAGGCAAAAAAGAAAAAAAATAAGAAAGCTGGAGAAGGGTGTTTTACCTCTGTTCTAGGAGTGAACTTTGACCTTGAAATGACCCTCATGATAGCCTTTGCTCAGATGATATGAAGAATCTTCCAAATAACTCTCTTAATGTCCCTTTTGTTTTATTATTCTTTCTTAACAAAGGCAAAATGATATTAGGGTTTTGTGGTACAATTACAAGCTTCTGAACAGTTCATATACCAGTGGTCCACCATAATACTTCCAGCCTTCATGCTTCCAGGGCCTTCAGAGAGAACTCTCTCCATCAATGAAGAAGAACTGGAGGGAAGTTTTAGAAAATGGAACACTGTAAATAAAGGCACTGAAGAATTTAAACAAGAGGTACCATGTTTCCATTCATGATATGGGGTTTTAGCAGCCCTTGGAGCTTGCCCTTAGCTTGAAGGAGGATCTAGTCAGGTACCTTTCCAATGTACATCTTAACTGGCAACTAACTAAATCAATGGAACAGGTCTTAGGCCTTAGAGAGAGAGTGGAGGAAAGAGAGGTCCACGGCTCAGGCCTGTATTCTCACTGGGGACAGCATAGTGGGTGCTGGAATTTTCAAGGATGGGAATTTTTCACTTTAATTGGATGCCTTATCTTTCCTCTGTAGAAGTAAGCATAGACCAATGTGGTGTCTTATTTACTACTGTTTCTTCAGGATCTGCGATAATGTCTGATACCCAGTAAAATTCAACAAATGAATAGTTCACCTTGCTCATTTAGAGAGATAACTTCAACTTCTGAAGTGATACATTCCTGCTTCACAGACAGCCCTTTCAGTGCCTATAATGAGCATACAGATTTTTCTTTTCTTTGGTTTGAAATTTGTTTTTGTATGAATCCCTCAGAATTTATTCTAAATACAAATGAACAAATAAACTCATGCATACTCACCTCAGGTGAAGAAGGGCTTTCAGCTTAAGGGCAAAATGTTTCATGAAATTCCAGAATGGTCAAACTGAAAAAGAATTTAGCAGGCCAGATCAATCTTTTAATTAAGGAAAGATCAAATTGTGATCCAATAACCCTGTTATTGAGCCAAGGAAGAACCTCCACATTGCTGGCAATTACAAAATAGCAATAACAAGCCTTGTTTATTACCTCTGTGTGGTCACTGTATAGTTCTTACTTAATTTACTCCTCATGACACCCCATTGGTATTCTTATTTTATTGTGATAAAATTGTGGATTAGAGAGGTAAATAATACACTCCAGGGCATACTGCAAGTAGATGGCAGAATCTTGACTTGAGCTCAGGTCTGTCTGACCACAAAACTCAAGCTCTTAACAACTATGCTATAATATAAGGGTTCTTCCTATAGGGAAGAGGTGGTCTTTGTGGTTAGCACCATACTGAAGACATAGGACTGTGTTCTTATACCCTCATTAGTTTACATTGCTCCCCCTGAGATCCTCTTTTCTTTCTTCCCTTCTTTATGAACTCATTCTCACATCTCAAGATTTGCCTCAAGTGTTCTCCCTTCTGAAGCTCTCTCAACATTCCCACCAGCTAGAGGGAGCTTCTCCCTGTCCTTTGTTCCCTTTTTTATGTTGTCAGCATCAGTGCCCTAGGATGGGTGGCATTGTTTTTATCCTTGCTTACTTATTTGCCTGTCAGATGTGTAATGTGTTTACCTCATACCTAGCATTGGGCCAGTGTTTGTGGAGTAACTATATCATTAGGGTTCTCTCACGGGAGTAACAGAATTTGACTCTGGCTAACCTAAGCTGAAAGGGAATGTTTTTGAAAGCATGTGTAATGACTTCCTAAATGAAAAGAAGAGCTGAAGAGTCAATCTCAGAAAGGACTGGAGTAGCAAAAGCCCAGGGACTCAGGTCTCAGGACTCTACTGCAAGGATGTGAATTTTATCTAAGAGCTGGGGTTTAGAGTGGAAAGGCATCAACCAGGATGGATTGACATATCTGCCTTCATGGTATTTTGAAGGAGCAAGGCATCCATCTTGATGTATCCACCATGGCTATACCCAGTGGTGGAAATGTCACTCCCCAAAGATATCAAATAAGGAGAAAGGATGGTTCTCAAATAGTAACTCTGTTCTATGGTAACCCTATTTTGATACAGATGCCTCCAAGATGCAGCTCTCCCACAGTGGGGCCACCTCCTTTGCCACAGAAATCACTGGAAAGCAGGTAGGAGCTTGACCCTCTCTCTGGAGCTCTGCTCTCAGCCCATCTTGCAATCCTCAAGTGTAGGGTAACTGGCCATGTGTGGTGAGCACAACCACCATTCTGAGCACATGCATCCTTCAGTTGACAGGGGGCACCAACCAGGCCTGCCTCTTCTGGTCACAGAAGGGCTTCCCTTCCCATGGCTGAGAGTCTAGATCACTGCCACTGAGAAAAGAGCTAGCCAGGAATTGGGGTCTCAGTGGAGAAGTGACTACTACAACTCACCCATGCCCTCCAGTGGCTCCTTGGAGCTGAGTGTGCCCCATGATATGTGTCTGTCATTGCCATCATCCCTTTTGACATGTCCTTAGCATTCTAGTCCTTTGACCACCCAGGCACTATAGGGAGGAACATTTCTCCCCACAGGGAAGTTGGTCCAATTGCTTTGGTGAAAAAAGACTTATAAACTACACTATAGAGTCATTGACTACCCCCTGACTGGTTCCCTCCAAAATTATCCCATTTCTGGATCCCCGTTTCAGTTCTTTAGAACATGTTTCTGAGCTTAGTCAGTAAGGGAGATATGGAGGTTTCACCACCATGAAAAGGCTCTTTCAGCCAACGTGTCTGGGGAAGAACATAATCATAACAGGCCTCCCTAGAAAGGTGCTGAGCCTCCAGATTCCAGTCTTTACTCTCAGAGTCCAACTTATAGAGAATCTGAAGCATCAGCCAGCCCCAGAGCAAACCAACAATATCAGAGAGTGATTGACCAGTCCTAAGTTTTATAAAATAAGAAATTTAGTTTATGAGTTCACTCAGGGGGAAATAACAATAAGGGATTCACACTGACTGGACTTACAAGAGACTAATGTATAAAGAAAATTTGTCTTATATCTATTAACTGAGGAATATAGCTGCCAAGAAGACTTGGCACATGGTAAGCCTTGTGATCACTGGTGGCATTGCCTCTTTTTTAATTATTTGGTGCCCTTCTCTGCAAAATAGCCTCTATGAAAACAATATTCCTCTGAGCAGACTTCTCAGGATATAGAGGACCAGAGAAGAGTGTTGGAGGATCTTAGCAGGAAGTACTTTGTAGCAATGGCTGGCTGATGTGTTTGTCTCTACTCTAAGGAGGAACCAACTTCTTCCTACCTGGATTACTCTTAGACTCACAAACAAGTCAGTATCAGTATTCTTCTTGTATTTCGACTCTGCAGACATTAGTCTTCTTTATGAACCCAGGGTAGCTACACAGATAACACAGTAGTTACCTCTCATGGATGCAATAGAGTTAAGTGTATTCTAACTGAGCAACATGAAGGACTTTTTATTGGGACTTAAGTGATGCTGTCATGCCTTCACCAACATCTCCCAAGGTGGGACAGCCTCATCTAATATGTTGGCTGTTGTGAGAAGGTGGTTCTTCCTTCTGCCATTTACCCTAAGCCTAAGAGAGACTACTGGTTAAGCATTTAGATTGCCTTCTGTATTAATGATACCAACCTTCACTTTCTCTTATAACTATTTTTGTCACTTTATGTTTTTCCAGGGTTCAGAAAAAACTCTCCTGTAGTCTAGAAGATTTAAGAAGCGAATCTGTGGATAAGGTCAGCTCATCAATCTATCCATAAAGATTACTGAGTTACTTCTTTAGGCCTATTACAGAGCTGGGATATGTGGGCGAGTGCTGGTCCCTACCTTGGAGAGGCTCTTGCTGGTAAGGCAGAATTACAAGAATATTTGAGAAAATCTGTCAGATATAGCCCAAGGCATCCTAGAGACAAGACAACTCGGGAAATGCGGGCTAGAGTAGGTAAGAGAAGAGGTGTCAGTGAGCAAAGGCTGAGTCCGAGTCTGATGGGAACAGGCAGGATTTGGGGAATGATGGGAAATAGGAGGAAGTAAGGTCAGAGCCAAGTATTAGATCAAGCCAGAGAAGATCTTGAATATTGGCCTTATCTCCCAAGGCACTTGGGATGATTGCAGCAATTTTGAATTAAATAATATGGATAAAGGAAATGATTCCCAGAGTAAGGTCTGGGATTGTTTACAAGATTCAAGAAGCAACTTAAAAAAAAATCTAGGAAAATGAGGGCTTTGTGACCCCCTTAGTAGCCTTTGACCATGTGGGTGGCACCTATGCTAGAGGATCACAGGCTTTTTTGCTTAGTCATCACAGAACAAGGAACCTGCTCTAATTGAGCCTCTAGTGATCCCATGCTGCATGCTATCCCCTGGTTCCAGCAGTATCAGCCTCCCAGGTGACACAATGGAGACCCATAAAAGCTGGATTTGTCAGGAGCCATGGTCTTGTCTAGTGGCTTTGCTCCCATGGGCATATGCCTCTCACTTCCCTGATCAGATTGCTGGCAGTGGCCCGGGTGTCTGTCGACAAGGTTAGACAGGGATCTGCATTTGCTGGCATGTTATGGTGATCTCCTGACATGAAGATGGGGGAGGGGCATGAGCCTTTCAGATATAAGCAAGTGGATAGTCCTGACTTATTTATGCTTTTAGACTTATTAAGATTTCTTTTCTCCATATAATTGAAATTCTTTCTGTTACTCCATAGTGTGTCAATGGGAAGCAGCTTTCTTTGGCAGTAGAACCCAAGGTACATTAAGTTCATATTATTATCACTTTTTTTGTGTTTGTTCTATTTGCCAGAGTGTTATAACAAGTTATGGTTTTTGTAGTCTTAAGATATGTTAACCATCGGGGTAAGAGGACAAGAAGAAAGACAGAACTTCCTCCTCCCATTTTACTTTTATGTGCACCCAGGTGTATAATGAGCTTTCACCAATATTATCTGTGGATAGGAGTTATTATCAACACTCCATTTTATAGGCTCTATTTTATAGAAACTAATCTTTATAGAAAGAGAGAAAACTAACCATTTTATAGAAACTAATCTTTAACAACAATCTAGCCTTAATCACTGGGCAGGGAATGCTGTGATCTCAGTACACAGAAGAGCGTGGCAGCTCTCATCCTTTATGTGCTGATGAAAAACACAAGAGTAGGGCTGGGGATGCAGCTCAGTGGTGGAGCATTTGGCTAGCATGTCAAGGCCCTGGGCTTGTTTCCCAGTGCAGCAAAACAAAACAAAACAAAACACAAACAAGTACTCTTAGCTTCCCTTTAATGAACATGTCACATTTAAAAATTCCATTAGAATTTATTTCCTCCTAGAAAAACCTGTTTTGAAAGATGATTATATTTCCAGATTGGTGCACAAATATTGAGCCCTTGATGAACTGAAGTTTTTTATAAATGGCATGATTTCATCCATTATTTTTAACATCATATGGGAGAATGTATTGTACTTGACCCTCATTTGCCTTTCATATGAGACATGGGTCCTTGTTGCCCATGAACTTTGATCTGAGAGGGTCATTTTATATTTTCATACCAGTGTGATAGAATGGGCCATCTCTGTCCTCTTAACTCAGGGTAAGAGGAAGATCTTTTTTATACTTCTATAGGCTTCTCTGCACTTTTATATTTATAGTAGTCAGTACTACAATTGGGAAGCCATTCCTTGAGCCATCTGAACTATAGAGCAGGAGTCTTCTGCCTGCTTTCTTGTCTCAGCCTGGAGCCCAGGCTTTGTATAGTCCCTTGGCAAATTGAAAGCCTTCCTGTAGAGACTGCTCTATGGCATTTTTCACCCAGCAGTTTCCCTTCCCTCTTCAGCCTCACAGAGGTCATTCATGTTTCTAAAATACATGTGTAAGTAATCATCCACTTTTTGGAAACAGAGCTGGTTCACCAGCTCAAGCTTTAAGAAATATATGTGATGGGAGATTGTTTATGAAGAGAACATATTCCAGATTAAAAGATTGATTCTTTTATCATTTTAACCATAACTATAATCTTGTGTGGTCTCAACTAGTTCAACATGAACACCTCTTTACACAAACACACACCCTACCCCATATCCTCCCCAGGACTGTTCCACAGGTGCAATGATCTTTTTGCAGTATCCCCTACCCTTGGTGCCAGGCCCTTTCTTTCTGTCACTGAGAGGTCACTAAATCATAAGATACTTCTTATATTCTCTTCAAGCTCTCACTGTGAGACATGTCTGCTGAGCTTCACCAGAATGCACATCCCCTGATCTGGCTCTCCTATGGGATGAGTCAGTACCCTCTACTCCTGATGTTCTAAAATTAAGTCCTCTTATGTTCTGTTCTCAGGACTGAACATCCTCTTACCATGTACATGGATCACCAGCCTTTAAAGCACTAGTTTCTCAATGTATTCTTTAAATTTGTCTTGGGTCAGACTTGGGCTTGATATTCTAGATGTCATTTGACCTGTGCCTTCCTTGATCTAGGGTCTGCTCTTCTGGACTGCTGTCTCTCTAGGACTCAGCATGCATACTTCTGTTTATCTGTTGTTCACTGTATGTGTATCATTTCACAGCAGATCAAAGGCAGAAATTGTTATTCCCTATTTAGAAATGACGGAACAGAGGTTCTGAAAAGTTAAAGAGAAAGAACTTTTCCTGAGTCAGTCTGACTCAGGCCGTGGGCTCTCTCCCCTCTCTGGCAGGCTGCTTTTCGATAATTCAAAGCAGCTCAGTAATAGGTTCCATGCTGCTCTTTCTCATGGGTTTTCATTTCCCCATAGCCAGGATTATTCTTCTTGGAGGTGGGAGAACAGAATCAGGCTCAAGCAGTCCTGTCTCCTCTGTGTTCTAACTTGACATTGCACTGCTTTCTCCAGCAGTGAATGGTTCTTGCCAGTTTTTCTTCTTGGCCTCAACAGAGCTGAGCGAGCCTTCTCCATTGCCTTTGGTTTCTTGTGCTGTCTTTCTTACAGGTCAGGAGCCCTATCCTAGGGCCAGGTGCATGCTTTCTTTGCATCTCAGCTACTCAGGGAACTACACACGTGGCCCACATCAGAGTTCTTGTCTTTGGCCATCTTTGCCCTGTCTTGGGGGAGCTTATGTGATGATACAGCCACAAATATGTTTGAGAGCCCTTCCCTCTCCTTTACTTCCTGTGTAATATGGAACTCTGAGTCAGGTCCCTCAGTTTTCTGAACTCTCTGAACACTGCCTTCCCACGGTCAGAGGTTCCCATATCTGACTGTGTATCAGAAAATAATCTGAGATGCTTGTTAAAAATATAGACTCCTGGAGTGTGCTCCAAAAGGGCTGATTCACAGGGCCAGAGGAACCTGGGAATTTATGTTGTTTTTGCAAGTGAAGAAGCCCGTGCATGAACTAGCACTGGGAAACTATTGCTCTTGTCCACACATCTGATCATGTCAAACCTCCACCTCATGGATCATCAGGAACTTGAAAACCTTATGCTCTTCATCTCTTGAAGTTCTAATTACTTCTACTCACTAGCCAGTTCTTTCAGAATTCTTTAAGAATTTAGTCTCCTCTTCTTTCCTTTCTGAGCTTAATTATAGCAGGTTATTTTCTATATTCAATGAGTGAACTGCATTTCATATAATTTCTAGGACATGCATTTATAAGCAAACTGAACTCAGAAATATATTGAACACTTGACTTATAGCTGAATGAAATTTCAAAGATGTCTAAGTCATACTAGTCTCCCATTATTGGCCTGACTTGCCAGTTTCAAAATCTATCTTGTCTTTCATATGACTTTTCTTCTGGATCCAATCAAGTGATCTACAGTTGGGTCCCTCAACAATGTTGCTGCAATTTCTCTTCTCTTTTATTCTTGCTCTTGAAATGCACTCTACTGTTTTCCCCAAGTTTGTAGATTTAGGGGCCATATATGCTCCTTGGCCAAATAAGTGCTATTCTTCTTCCTCTTTTATTCAACTTGCTTCTTTGGGACTTTTTATATGGCCAGTGTTCAACCACAGGGTCCATTGCATCAAAACTATGCCTCAGACAATGTACCTTAGACAATAATCCTAAATTCCAAAGGGAACTCTGTGTTGGCATATAGTCCTCTTCCCCATTTTTCCTGTTGTCATCTCCCAAAGTGTGTGCATACCTTCTTGCTTTGCCTTAACAGGCTTTCATAAAGAACTGTTATCACAAAACAGACTTTTTCTTCTACTGCTTCAAATTTAAATTCTAATCTTCTTTCTTTAGCATAGCCTTTAAGCCAGAATCTACATAATTTATGCACTTGGTTAAACCCCTAAAGAGATTTGCCCTGACCTGTTTCTGAATAAGGGTCCTACTCTGGAGAAGCATATCCTTATTGCCTGCAGGAAAGCAGGTCTCAGGAGAACAGGGAAACCCAGACCAGATATATATATATATATATATATATATATATATATATATGTGTGTGTGTGTGTGTGTGTGTGTGTGTGTGTGTGTATGTATATAAAGTATAATATATAACATGTTATATAACTAATTATATATTATATAATCATTAATATATAATAGAGATTCGTATGTGTACCATATACATACATATACATAACATACATATATATATGTGTGTGTGTGTGTATGAGATAAATATATGATATATACCTCATATCTATATATGAGATAAACTAGTAGGTAGAGAATTTTGGCTTCTGTATTTGAAGAGCTCATAGACTAATTCATGGCTATTGATTCATTAAGCTTATGAACACTAGGCCAAGTGGCAAAGGCCTCCTTCATAAGACATGTCCAATTCTTGCTTACAGGTGATTGTAGTCATCCCTAGATTGCCTGAGTCAGCCTGTGTGTTGACTCTAGTCCTGTCTCACTGTGTGGGCAGACTTTTCCCTTTCTCAGAACTCTAGTCCTCTTTCCTGGCTTGGGCTAAATGATCTTTGAGGGTTTTGTTGTTGTTGTTGTGAACTCTTGGAGAATAGAGTTATTTGGATATCCAAGGATTTCCTAACTGGGTTTGAGTTGAGTCTCAGGATTAACTAAGTATCTCTCCTTTTCTCTTTCCTTCCAATAGGACAGCTCTTTCCTGGTGGAACAGAAATACCCTACATTACCCGGGAAGCTTTCGGGAGCCACACCCAATGGAGAAGCTGCCAAATCTACTTCTGCCACCTCCCAGCCCGACCCTGTAGGAAGCAACCTGCTAAGACTGAGTGAGTGTCCAACCCTTCAGCTAGTAGATGCTGGAGCAATGTTTTTGGCATTTCCAATTATTGTACAAGATACCTGTGCCTGCCATTGCAGCCCTTAATTGAGAATGTTAGGAGTGGGTGCTGGTACAGTTTGTACCTCACAGTAATCCCATTTTTACAGCTCCCTGCCTTGGCAAGGGAGGTAAATACCAGCATCCAAGAAAACCCAACCTGAATACATACTCTATTCTTCCCGGTTGTAATTAGTCCATCCCATTTTCCTCTATCTTCTGTTCCTCCTCTTTTGAATTCCTGCCTTTCCTTCCCATGATTCCTCTTTCCCCATCTTCTTAGATATCCTGTCACCCTTCCTGCCCCTCACCCTTCCTTCTTCTGGCCTCCTGGACTTTCTCTCCTTTCTTTGCCTTGTCTGAAGTCTCCCAGCAGGATTACAGTATGCACTTTTTAGGCAAATGAAGTCAGTGGTCAATGGGCAAAGATGTCAGCTCACAGGTATCCCTTTGGAGGTTAAGTCCTGAAACCATGAGGTCTTTGCTACTTTTCATCCAAAATAGGTGATTTCTCCCCAGTAGCACCACAGATCTCATGGAGCCAAGGAAGGAATATTCTAGTCCAACAGAGTTTCCCCTTCCTCTGACTCCTCTGCTCAACTGTTGCCTGAGTCAGCCTGTGTGTTGGCTCATGAAGGCCAGTTCTGCTGTGGCTACAGAAGCTCTAGATAAGCCTTTAAATGAGTGTATCCAGTAACAGACCTGGACTCACAGCAGCTCCAGATCATTCTAGTCTGACTGAATGACCTTTGATACCTGTGCAAGAGCTTCATGTGACCCAGGTTGTTTAGTCCCTGCTGTTCTCCTTCCCTTTCCCCACAGGTAGACAAATACCTCAGCCTGCCAGGAAGTAGCACCTAGCATTTGGCCCCTCTTTTGAGGCCTTCTTTCAGTTAATGACCCTGTAGGCTAGGCTGAGTCAACACTTACCCCATCTTTCTTCATGGGATTATTTTTCTTTTGAGTTTTTCTCTCTTGCTTGATGACACTCTTTTTTATTTCTTTGCTTCCCTGTAACTCTTTTGGGTTGGACTTTGGCCTCTCTTGTTTCTTCATGTGGCTTCTCTGCTTCTTGATTGGCTGGAGATCGTGGCCGGAGTGTCAGTGCCCCTGTATTAGGTACTGTACCCGTACCAGGTGAGGTGGAGAGTGAGAATGCTTTTGCTTCCCATTTACCAATCCTTTTACTACTACCCCAAATGCTTGGCCATTGTCCCCTCCTGCCTGCATGCCTGCATATCCCTCTGAAAAGAGAACACAATCCTTGTTGAATAATCCACAAAAATTTAGACCCAAACCTTTTGAATTTGATGTCATTAGCTCACTCAGATTTGAAACACTGAGCTCACTGATGCCTTATCTGGAAAGCCTGGAGTGTGCCTGAACCTCTACTGGCCTCTGGGATACTGGTGTCAAGCTCTAAAGAGCTGAGTGGTCTTCTGAACTCCAAATCGGATGCCTGGGCTTAGGGAATAGGGGTCCAAAGGTCATTCCTCTGATTGACATATCATTCAATCTTTTCAACCACAGGAGACACAGAAAGCAGTTGGGAGAATGCTGCCATGGCCAACGAACTCTCTTCCAACTCATCGGGTGCTGAGTCAAGCCCCCAGTCCCCCCTGACACCAGATGGTAAACGGAGCCCCAAAGGAATCAAGAAATTCTGGGGAAAGTAAGTTGGTAGTAATGGGTTATAATCATATTGCTTGAAATTAATTTTCTTCTTGATTCGATAAAAAAAATCTGTGTAAGTACTTGATCCATTAGACACTGGGACAGCAGTTAAAATGGAGCAGTCATGTTCAGGGTGAATTTGAGTTATTTTTACAGGGCCTAGAGAAGGGAAGATATATATGAAAGTTATCATATATATAAAAAGTTGATATATATTATATAAAGTTAATATATTAATATATAAAGTTAATATAGCCAGTGTCCTTACACATGTCATTCATTCTAGACATCCATCCCACACACCCCAATGGTATTCACTTCAGCTTATCCTATATGGGTTTTGGGAGAGGAACAGATGAGACTGCAAAAATCTTTGAAGACAGAAAGCTGAGTTCTTGCTGGCCCAAGTGACATAGTCTATGAAATAGGCAGACACTGGAGCCTCCTTCCAGGCAGCAACCTTTAATTTGTTCCCCAAGGGGAGTGGCCCACCCCAGGCTTAGAATTGAGATGCAAGCCCAATGAAGGAACTGTCAAAAGTCATGATCCTTGGTCTCTGGGGAGGCATAAGGAGATAGCATTGCACTGAGTCTGGACTGCATGGCCCTACCTGCAAAGGAGGGGTTACACTGCCTCTAGACTCTCAGGTCATCCCTGACAGTCTCCACGGATTCCTCTCCATGCAGAATCCGAAGAACTCAGTCAGGAAATTTCAACACTGATGCACCAGGGATGGCAGAGTTTCGACGAGGTGGGCTTCGGGCAACTGCAGGACCAAGACTCTCTAGGACCAGAGATTCTAAGGGACAGAAAAGGTAAGGCTCCTTTCAGTCTATCTACAGAGAGCTACATGAAATTTTTCCTGGAATAGAGTGGGACAAGGGACTGGATGTCCCAGAGCCTCCAGAGATGGATGGGAGGAACCCTTCATGCAGAGCTTCTTGACTTGCCCATTTGACACTTGTCAACTTTGCTCATGCTGATAGATAAGATACTAAGGAGAAGGCAAGAGGCTCTCTATAGTTGGAGATGGGGTGGTGGTGGTGGTAGGAGTGCCTAAAACAGTTCTGCATATCTATAATCCATTATCAGCAATACCTTTGCACACTGGATTGAGAAGCTTTGTTGAAGCCATTAAGAGCACAGTTCCTAGAATCCCAGACACAGGTTGTATTCTCTGCTCAACCACTTCCTAGCTAAGTTATATAACCTCTTTATTCATCATTTTCTGGTTTGTAAAATGGAGATCAAATATGAGTATTTTATTAAGAAATTCTTATGAGGAATACATTTAAACCAAGCACCAGCTGTCTGCCACACAAGAGTCAACATCCCCTAGTCTATTTGGAAAAGAGAACCTCCTCTTACTGCCTGTGGGCAGCCCACTCCTTCCACAGACTCCACAGGAGAGTGTTAATGGAGCAGGTTGCATCTTCCATTATCCCTCATAATCTCACTGTGCCACATTTTACCGAGGGATGGTAATCGCTAAAGCATGAGTGGCACTGGAATCAAAATGGTGAGTTTTACATCATGCCCTAATTAAAAAAAAAAACAAAAAACATAAAGAACCTTAAGCTTTTCTAGAGGTGTCCTTGGTGGACACTTTCTTTACCTCCTTTCCATAGCTTTCCTGCTCTGAGAAAGTGTCTCCCTTCAAACATAAACAGGTTAATCTTTATTCCTGTTTTGGTGAAGCCCCTTTTTCTATCTTTGTGCTTTGTTAATTTTGATACTTCACATCCAGCAGAATATCTCCTTAGGTCTAAGTTACAGAGCTAAAGTCAGTTCTTCTGGAGTCTTCTGAAGGATTGGATTGTGCCATTTAATCTAGCCAAAAGGGGAAAAGTCGGGCTAACTGTCTTGAGTTTAGTGCCCTTGAGATTGCCATATACTGGTGTGAAGTCCAGGTAATTATCAGATAAAATGTACATAACTCAAAAATTAGTTCTCAGAAATAATGCAGTGTAGATTCCAACTGAAGGGAAGAGAATTTCCCTAAATCCGTCCTATTGTTTACAGTAGTACATCCCCTGTGGAAGGGAACCATAGCTTATTTTGCACATGTATGAGATACTTTCCTCCCCAGCTTGCCATGGGCAGGTTTATAGATTTTGTCAGGTCTTCACTCAGGTGTTTCCCAGAGTGGGGCTGCATAGTGGGGGAATCCATTTGCATTCTGCAAGTCACTTTAGAGTAAGGGGTAACCAGTATCAGAAACCTCTGCCAAAGGAAAAAACTGCCATTCCAGCCACAGAGCTGCTTTGTTAGAATGTCTTTGTGCTTTGTTAATCATAAACAATGGTTGATAAAGGGAATGGGAGTGAAGAGTCCTGATGAGATTGCTGTTTATCTTAACAGTGCTTATGGTAACAAAGATGAATTTGCTGGGAGAAAAGAAAGGCCTTTATTACCCTGAAGCAGAAATTTGATAGAATTATATGCTAATGTCCTCTAGTATTTATAGATATCAAGGCAAAATCTTTAAAAAATGTGTCAATAATATTATTGGAGGAAAAGTACTTTATTAATAATAGCTTCCAGCCCAAATTCTTCTTTTTCTGATAACAAATTATTTTTTAAATAGGTAGTTGATAATAACATTTTGTTGGAGCACTCTCTGATTACACATGAACAAATTTTATTTCTTTTCCCCCAAAGTACAGTTTTATGGATTTTTACATCCAGATAGCACTGCTGGGAATGGGGAGCCTGTCACCCATACATCCTAGTCAGTTTAAAAGTTTCAAATTTTTCTTTGTTCAAATTTCTCTTTTACAGACCTCCAAAAAAATTTATAATTTTATTGTTAATTTTGTTTGCATTTTAAATCTTCTTTTGTGAACTATCTGTATTTTTCCAATTTTATTTAGTCATTTTTATTTTGTTTACTTTATTTGCACTAAACATGCATACATGATTTTTAAAAATTTAGCATAAGAGGTTTTTTGTTGTTTTCCTGCCCTAGGAAAAAGACATTAAAGTGTAATGATTAATGCTAACAGATTCTAGAGCCATAGACTGGATCCCATCTTTATGGAGGGGTTCTCTGAGCTGATCTACTGAGGGTATTGCCCTTCAAGACTCGCGGGTTTATGAAGAGTCTCCCTCCAATCACATCACTGCCCTACTGATGGTCCCATTTGTGTGTGTGTGTGTGTGTGTGTGTGTGTCTTTTCCCCACACTTGTGGTCAGAGTCATATTTCATGATTATAAGGAAGCTACCAGGGCATCTACTTTATGGGCCCATTCCAGGGTCCAGAGAAAATCAATCAATGTGTTGACAGGGCTAAGTGTTTTGAAAGTTTTACATATATAAGGTATTTTATTTTATTTATTTTTTCATTACATTACTTATTGCACATATAGAGCACTATTTTTCGTATCTCTTTATATACAGTATGTTCATGCCAACTTATGCCATTATACATGTACCCTTTTTTTGCATTACAATTCTTAATACACATATGTACCACCATTTTTCATATCTTTATTTGTATATAAGTATGTTGGCCCCAAATTCAAATCTTCATACATGTATTTTGTATAAGGATGACCATCACATTCCACCATCCATATATAAGGTATTTTAAACACAGTGTTTAGACCGATGAGTCCTTTTATTCCAGTTTTCCCTTTGTCTATAGTTTTCCTTTTATCAGATGATGATGGACTAGACTTAGGGATCTTTGAGAGCTAACTGGTTTAGGGGAAATTGAGTTTGGGGATCCAGTTCAGGTTGAGTAGGATTTGTGGATATAACCTGCCATCACTCCATAGTTTGTTCAGTTGGGTTTAGTTAACTAGCTATCCTAGCATAAAAAAGCGTCAGTGCTCACTCCTACTTCCCATTTTGCTTGTTGCCCAGAACTAAAGATGCAAATTAGAAGTAATGTTCCAAAACAAATGTGTCCTCTAGCATTCCATACCAGAAGTACGGGATAGTGGAAACAAAACCGTATTTTAGATGTAACAAAGCCAGAAGTTAGTCTGTGGAAATTCTTTCCAGTCATCAGATCTGCAAAATCTTAAGCAGGAGATTTGGTTCTCTTGAGTGCTTAGTCAAAACAGAAATTCTCTCCTGTCAGGAATGTACTTGCTAATGAAGTGTGTGCACTTATGAATGTGCCATGCCCTTTCCCCTATCATGGAGGTGGCGTATTTGATAATCTCAGTATATCATTTTAACAACAATTTGGAAAGATATTTTGGAATGTGTCAATAAAATAAGTTGTTTGGCTGTGTATGAGAAGTACCTTCTCTGTCATTTCTAAATGATTTCCTTAGCATGTTCAGCCATATTCCTGGCAGAGGGGATGGGGGGATCTGGCTTTGACAGAAGCTGAGGAGTTCTGGGTCTGATACTGTAGGAACAACACAAGGCGGGGTAGGGAGGGTATACACAACAATAAATGAGAAGACTACGGAAATGAGGACCAGAACTCTAGTTTGGTTGAAACATCTGAAGGACAGAAGTTTTCAAATTATGATCTCAAAAATTCTTATTTCCTCCTTCAAAACTGAAATGCCTCTCTAATATATACAATTTCTGTTTTTTCCCCACAATTTCCAGAAATGAGAAGATGAGTGAAATAAAACCCTAATAACGTGAAATAAAAGTGATAAAATGAGCATTGGAACAGAGAAATTGTTCTCATATTAAGAAACAAATTATAAATGACAACAAAAAATGTTAGACCATATCAAAAGCAGTAAGTGCAAGAAATAAATTTCAAATAGAAATTGTAAATAAGTTTTCAGGTATTATTTATATAAAGTGAATCATATGAACACATTGTAAAAAGACTGAAATTTCTTGCCGATTTTACATTTTATGCTAACATCAGCAAAGATAAAATAAAACTTAAGCTACTGTCAAAAGAGCATGGACAACACATCAATTAATGAATATTGACAATTTGAAGAATATTTAAGATTAACCATGACAATAGAAAACTTGAATGCTAGAGGTCATGTTCTAAAATGAATGTGTCCTCTAGCATTCCATACCAAAATTATGGGATAGTGGAAACAAAACCATATTTTAGATGTAACAAAGTCAGAAGCTAGTCTGTGGAAATTCTTCCCAGTCATCAGATCTGCAAAATCTTAAGCAGGAGATTTGGTTCTCTTGAGTGCTTAGTCAAAATAGAAATTCTCTCCTGTCAGGAATGTACTTGCTAATGAAGTATACGCACTTATGAATCTTTAACATTCATATGTGAGAGATACTTGATAGAAGTTTTCCTAAATTTAATCAGTGATTCTAAAAATGTGCATGACAATACCAATTACAATTACAAATTGTGAAGCTGAAACTTTTTAAAACTCTCATAATTATAAAAGAAAATATTGACAGTCATCCTAGAAGAAAGACTGACTCAACCTCCATCCTACTCCATCATCTCCAGGGTTCTAGAATGGTGTTTTCTTGTCATTCTGGCCCTTTAAGAAATCCTTTCCCTTTAAGAACAGCTCAGCCAGGTATTCAAAAAATGTATTCCTGTATGTTAGGGGTGGGGGTCAGCTCTCTGTATTAAGTGGTTTTGCATCTGTACATTAAGCCAACTGAGTACTGAAGATGTGGTTAGATCTACAATGGTTTGCACTGAACATGCACACACTTTTTTCTTGCCATCATTTTCTAACAATGCAGTATAACAACTATTTGCATGGCATTTACATTATATTAGGTAATGTAAATAATCTAGATATGACTTAAGTTTATGGAGGATATGTGTAGGTTGTATGTAAATACTACTCCATCTTATGTAAGGGACTTGACTCCCTCAGAATTTGCTATCTGCAGGGGGTCCTAGAACCAATTTCCTGTGGATACCAACAGACAACTGTACTTTCCTAGAAAGAAATCTTTGTGAATATTTAGTCTTTTATATTCCATAAATCCCCATTTATGTTTAAAAATGAACATAAAGTTACTTTGTCCACTGCCTGCCACAAAGTTTCTTTTGGGATTTTGAATGTTCCATTATATTCACACTTTAAATGAAAAATTGATGTCTCTAAGAATGGTTGGTTTTAATGTCTACTCATCCTGTCGGAACATGATCTAACTCTTCATTTATTCATGTCTTTTTTTTTATGTTGCATAGTTGAGTGTTATGGCTACTATATCACCCCACTCTACCCCCTTGTGATCCCCACCCCATCACAATCACATACACAGGTACACACATTCCTTGTTAAGGCAATGTCTAGGCCGTTTATAATTTTGGTTTGTATGGGGGAGAATTTTTATTGTTTTAACAAATGCTTTAGTAGCTGTGCATGGATACTGTGTAGAAATTGATTGATTTTTGCTTGTAATATACATATTACATATGTATATATGTTTATGTGTGTGTATTTTATTACTAGTCACCTTATTGAGCTCTCTTGAGCTTTCCAGGCAGGCAGCCCTCATCTGAAAAGAACTATTTTCTTTTATGTCTACCTTTCTAGTAGCTATACTTCTTACTTTTATTTATTCTAATAAACATTATAATATTTTGGATGCAATCCTCAGAATACTGTTGTTATTATTAATAAGTACTTATAAAAATATATTGTCTCTTTGTTGATTTTTAATATGAAAGTCCCTAGTATTTTATTACTATTAGCTATTGTTAATTGGAGGGCTGTTGATTTTTTTTTTTTTTTTATGTTAGAGAACCGATTGTCTTTTTCCTTTCTAAGTATTTTCCTTAAAAAGAGTGTTGAATCTTGTGGACAAAATGAGTTAGTTTTAGGTGTTCTTCCTAATAGGGCCATGCTCTGGGATTGTGACATGTTGAGGTATATGTGGACCTATTGACTGCAGTCTCTTAAGGATTATGTCAGCTATCTCGTTCTCTAAGTAGCTGGATTTGAAACTCATTTGTTATGGAGGGGACTTGAATGTACCTCATGTGAGTGTGTTGTTGTGGAATTTCCTTCAGCTATAGCCCATGGTTAGGTTGTTTGTTAAAAGGTAGTTCCTTTTTGATGAGGCTTTATTATACGCAGAACCTCAGACTCTCAACTTACAAAAGTATACTGTTTCCCTGCTTCCCAGTGATGCCAATGCCCCCTTTGCCCAGTGGAGCACAGAGCGTGTATGTTCATGGCTTGAGGACTTCGGCCTGGCTCAGTACGTGATCTTTGCCAGGCAATGGGTGACATCTGGCCACACTTTACTGACAGCTACCCCTCAGGACATGGAAAAGGTAAGAACTGAGCCCAGGAAAAGGAGGCTGTTATTTCTCCCTAGACCAATTCATGGGAAGGTGAAGGCCCCCCACTCCATATACACACAGGAAGATGGGCAGGAAGGCTGGGATTTCCTTAGTAACTGCAGGTTGACATCCCAGGGTCTTGTGCACAGATCCCCTGCCACACTCTTTAGAGTATCTCCACCCTGACACAACATCCTCTGGAGATCAAATTGTCTGCCAAAATTTTACATCTGGTCTTCATCTTGCAATTTCAGGAACTAGGAATTAAGCACCCTCTTCATAGAAAGAAACTTGTTTTAGCAGTGAAAGCCATCAACACCAAGCAGGAAGAGAAGTCTGCGCTGCTGGATCACATTTGGGTGACACGTAAGGACAGGCATATATGTATTAAGTATGTATCTGACTGTTCCTAAGGGTAAAAAGAATTTCCATGTTGAATGTGTGCCTCAAAGATAGCTGTGTCCTTGTGAAAGGCAGATGGATTACTAAATCTTCTGAAAAAAACTGGAACCTCAAAATGATAATTGTTGCTCCTATTCTCAGGAATCCCAACACATCTATTTTTTTTTTCTGTATTTATAGGGTGGCTTGATGATATCGGCTTACCCCAATATAAAGACCAGTTTCATGAGTCCAGAGTTGATGGACGAATGCTGCAATACCTAACTGTGGTGAGGACTTTTCCTTTAAATATTTCAGTTGTATCTGTGAGCATTTGGCTCAGATATGCCCATGATTGTTATTTTAAGCCTGATTCCATCTTATTCTGAAGTCCTTGAAATAGTATTGATTGTTACATAAGATATCCCCAGTAGCAGAGTACAAATCATTGTGATAAGAGAAACTGTTGGTATGTCCATAATGCACCTTCCTGAAATGTGGAAGTCTTGTCTGTTTGGCCAGACCAGGAAGGACCACTGGAGTCTTGTTACTTTGGAAACTGGCTCATCAAAACTTTTCTTTTCCAGAATGATTTACTCTTCTTAAAAGTCACCAGCCAGCTACATCATCTCAGCATCAAATGTGCCATTCATGTGCTGCATGTCAACAAGTTCAACCCCCACTGCCTGCATCGGCGCCCAGCTGATGAGGTGAGGGCAGGATAATAGCTATGCAGGGAGCCCTGAGCCAGGACACTTGAAATATCCTGTGTGAAAAAAATAAGATTTACATAATCACAAAATGCTGCATTTTGGACTGTGGTGCTTGGGATTCTGGCACCCAAAACACCCATGTTGCTTGTACTTTTGTGTTCCATTGTGGCCACTAAACCTCCAAATCTTCCACTCTCCCTTACATTACAAATGTAATGTCTGTGGCAACAAGTTTTTCAAAGTCATCATAATGATTACAAGAGATGATGCAAAGGAAGGGGGAAGAGATACACAAAGTGGAAATTTGAGTGTCAGGCAGAGGACAGGAAAAAACAGAGAAAAAGGGACAAGGAGCCCTACAAAATCGTACATCAAGAATAGTTTTTCCTACTTGTATATATACAAAATTAAACAATGTTCAGGTCCAGATATACAGAATCCATGAGCAGGTCTTAGTAGAGAAGAAACATTACAGATAAACACAGCAACCCAAATGATATATTTGATATTGTTCCATGAACCTCAGGGTTCTTGGTGGGCCCCAAACTGAAGTGTTGTCAGTTACATCCCACCTCCTCTGTTCCTGGAAACTTTGTCTACCTCTGCTTCCTGGGGGATTAATGACTCTTACCTCTGTTCTCCACCTCCTGTTTTCTCGGTATTCAACAAATATACTCTGCTTGCCCAGGCATAGTGTTGGGCATTTTAAAGTATCTTGATGTGTGTTCCCTGTTTTAGTCAGCTTTTCACTGCTGTGATTAAAAGACCTGATGAGAATAATTTTAGAGGAGGAAAAGTTTATTTGGGGGCCCATAGGTTCAGAGGTCTCAATTCCTTGGGGCTTAACGTGAGGTAGGACATCATGACAGAAGAGTGTGGTGGAGGAAAGTGGCTCATATGATGATCAGAAAGTAGAGATAGAGAGACTCCACTAGCCAGATACAAAATATATACCCCAAAGCCATGCCCACAGTGATCCACCTCCTCCAGCCACACATTATCCACCTTCAGTTACCACAAAATTAATCCCTTCAGGGGATTAATTCACTGTTTTAGGTTAAGGCCTTCCTAACCCAACCATTTGTCCTCTAAACCTTCTTGCGTTGTCTCACACATAAGCTTTTGGGGCATACCTCACATCTAAACCATAACATTCCCCTAAACAATTGTCCACAAAAAGATCTTTTTCTTTATAAAACACTTTTCTCATAAGTGAATCTTTAAAATTATGTTGAATAATTGAATGAAAAACTACATGCCTTTATTTATTTTTCCCAAAGTTAGCCGGAAAATTAGGGAGAAACAGGATTCTGCATTCAGATGTCTTAGTGTAGAAGATCATGTAAGATCCAGTAAGAGCTGTTTCTCAGAACTGAGAAGGCTCTCAGGGAGGCAGTCTGGCTGGCCTGGGTTGTTAGGCACAAGGGTCTTCTTTTGGTGAGGCTTCTGGGGCAGATTCATTCACAGGGGATGACCCCACAGAGGACTGTGGTAGGACCAATGAAGTCTAATGTTTCACTCTTCTTCCTCTCACAGAGTAACCTTTCTCCTTCAGAAGTTGTGCAATGGTCCAACCACAGGGTGATGGAATGGTTGCGATCTGTGGACCTGGCAGAGTATGCACCCAACCTTCGAGGGAGTGGTGTCCATGGAGGTCTTATTGTGAGTTGCACTCTGGGCTAGCCCAGTTGCTTTGATGTAGATTTGGGTATTCAGAAACTAATTTTCTGAGGGCCAAACATATATTCTAGTTAAAAAAAAAAGATACTTCATCTGAAACCTTTATAGAATCTGAAGTTTCAAAATATTTGATAATTTGTGGGTAAGAATTAATATACCCCATGGAAACAAGATAACTTCTGGAAGGGCTTCCTCCACTACAGACCGAGAGATCCCAGGTTAGTGGGAATGCATGAGAATCAGACCTACACAAGTCAGCTTTACCTGCTTCTAGAGGAACAGGGGGACTGGGAAATGAAGGGGAGGTCATCAAATGTAATTTCCTGCTTGCCATGATATAATCCTTATCACAACTCAGATCTGTCAAGTGGCAAAGCCAGAGAAGAAATATGGAGATGGTGGTGTGGATGTTTGGAGGTGGTGGTTTGAACATATAAGGTTCAAGACTTGTAAGAGACTGGGAGACATCCTAAAGAGGTCGCTGTTCTCTGTTGGTCTGTGAAAATGAGATGGTCACTTAACAAATATGCTAGTGTCTGCTCAAAGCCAAGCCTTATCTGGGTAGAGAGAGGAAAGTAGGACATAGAACAAGGGTATGAGCTTCAGCCTAATTTTGAAGGCACCCTAAGGCCCTGAAGGCCAGTTTCTCCCTATTACTTACTAGGTATCATCTGTTGCCACTGACTAAATTTGTCTATGATTCTTTCTTAGATCCTGGAATCACGATTCACTGGGGATACCCTGGCCATGCTTCTCAATATCCCACCACAGAAGACGCTCCTCAGGCGCCACCTGACCACCAAATTCAGTGCCCTGATTGGTCCTGAGGCTGAACAGGAAAAGAGAGATAAAATGGCCTCACCAGCTTATACACCACTGACTACCACGGCCAAAGTCCGGGTGAGTTGTTATACTCTTTCTGGGTTACCCCTGGGGACTTCCTTCTGGCTGTCAGGTCATACAGCCACTGGCTCAGTACATGGAGCCAGATCAGTGTATACATTGAGAACCAGGAGCAGCACTCAGCTTCTGCTGCAGGAGTTTGGTCTGTTTGTCTTCATTAGGCCTACTGCCTACCTGTCCTAAGTCCAAGAAAGAGAGCACAGGGTTTTTTACACAGAGGCTATGTTCAGGAAGCATCTATTCTCAGGTAGCTGGGAGCTTGTCCTCTACCCAGTGCTACTGTTACTCATTTTGCACAGCAGATGAGTTCCTGATCTGGATTCCCTTCCATTAGGCCCATCTGTGTGCCACAGTGCAGGGGACTCAGTCAAAGCTACCCTGACAGCATGGGGAGTGCTCCTGTTGCAGCTGGTTCCACTTGTCCTGTTCTGTGATGTGGCCTGCACACAGCTGTCCCATATCCCTAATCTGAAGTCATCCAAGTACCAAGACCAAGCATCTGTGGGCTCCCTAAATCCCACAAAGCCCTTCCTGAGCCACAACATCCCCACCATGTCCTTCCCAGATCACAGGCCCACAGACTCACTCTCTGGAAGCCAGGTTGGCCCCTCCCCAGCAGGCATGATGGTGCCTCACAGCACAGCTCACAGCTTAACCTTCTTTCCTAATGAAGCACAACAGCAAGTATCTGGACTTTCTGAGGGGGGAGTCCAGTGCTGGGCAAAGCTAAAGCAAGAAGGAAGACCAACCCAGGGCATCTGGTGTGGCTCTCAAAGCACTGGTGTCAAAGGCACTGGGTGCTGCTCCCTAGTGTGCTGTCATCAAATGTGTTGAGGCAAGTCCTCCATGCTTGGCCTCAAGTGCAGGCTGGTGTTCAGTAGGAACTGAGTCCATCTGGGAAAATAGGAAAGTTCCTGGGAAAATAGGACAATGGGAACTGTTTTCCCACAGTCTTGGAGGAGCAGTTCTTGTTAGGATTATTTATCTTTTGATCTTTCCTCAGCATAGAAATTGCCTACAGGACCTGTTTGGTTCAGTTTTTTCAAGAAGCACTTTGCCTTAGTTCTTTCCTCCTAGGACTGTTCTTAAATATATTGTCGGTCATATCTGCACATTGGAGTAGTAATCTTTCCATAATCTTGTATTTGCTGTATTTTAGCCAAGGAAACTGGGATTTTCACATTTTGGAAACATAAGAAAAAAGAAGTTTGATGAATCCACAGATTACATTTGCCCAATGGAATCTAATGATGCTATCAGTGATAGTCACCGGGTCTACAGTGGCTGCCGAGGCCTCAACCCCCTTGATGCTCCTGAACTGGATGAGTTGGACCAGGTGGGACAGGTTAGCTGATGCTTGTCACCTGCCCTCTCTGTGCACCTGAAAACACAGTAACACCACATGTGCCATCATAACTGCAACCTCACCCCCTGCTCATGTGCATGACTTGCAGAGAACATTCCAGCAATTATATAGCCCTAGGTCAATCTCTCTTCATACTTTGAAGAGGCAGGCTTTGGGGACTGTTGTCAAAGGTGGACTCAGGATGAAAAACCCTTTAAGATGCTTTTACATTTTTAGTAATTTTAAACAGCCAACTTCAGCACCACCAGATATGCATGAACTTAGACACAGGTCCAGAGACTATGAACAATCCCCAAAGACTCAACTCTCAGGCATTTCCCCTGTGCTGCGGTTAAAAGAAAAGCTCAAGTGCCTTATACCTATGGACCAGAGAATCTTGGCTGAGATCAAAGAGACAAATGGCAGGGACTTCTGCGGTAGTGACAGTGTAATTGTGTTATGTCTTTCTCTACAGAGGTAGTTGCTTCTTTCTGATAATAAAAACAATATTTATGTAGGAAGTAAACAGTGCAACATATTTTTAATCTTGTTGGGGGAAGAAAGGTGAGCATGGCTGGAAATGGAACCCTACTGATTGTAGCTTAAAAGCCTGTGGCACTGAGCCCAATCCAGATACACAGTCAGGATTCCCCAAGGGGGATGGAGCAAAGAGGGACCCCTTTTTCCTCTTTGTATCCTTCAGAGAGGACTGCCTCAGGCCCCACCTCCCTCAGTGAAGCAGAGGGGAAACTTGGGTCTCATGCACATCCTGGCTATAGGTCACGTCTGCTGTGCAGACCCCAAGTTGGTTTCCAGTTCACTAAAGGAGGGTAGGGGTGACAAGTAGGGATGCCTTGCTGGCAACACTCTCTGTTCCTTCACGTGTTCTGCCAGCTTCTCATAACTGTTGTGGGGGATGGTTCGCCTGGGCTGGCAGGGCTGAAGCAGATCTGGCCTCTTGATTTAGAGGCTGACTAGCTGATAATGGGCCCTCCAGATGGGCTCTGTCTGGCCAGAGACAGAGAGAGACATGTGGTGCCAGGCTGAGCTCCTGCTCTTGAGATTCCAGTTCACCCCAGGCCAGTGTTTGGCTTCACTGGGTCCCTTGGGCCTCATCTACAGAAGAATAACAGCAGTGTCATAATCATCTGACAGTGGGGCAGGGCCAGTGACTCCATTGTAGCACTCTGATTCTGTCCCAGATGGAAAGGCTGCTAAGATTTGCTTGTTATACCACCAGCAGCCTCAGACATGGCCTATTCCCTCAAACCACCACCTCCCCTGAGGTCCAGCTAATGAGAAATGTAGATACAAGCTTGTCAGCTGGGAACACTGGTGTTTGATCCTGGCACTCAGGGCAATTAAATGGCACTCGCTCCTCCAGGCTGATCCCTGGCCATTGTGGCTGTACAGCCAGTCAGGCCACCTTTATCCCTTATTTCTTTGTTATCATATCCTGGTGAGAGACTTTGCATGTGCCTGTTTTCAAACCCTGCATGGAACTGTTTTGCCACTAATTCTCTCTGTAGCTGCATGGAAGTCCTCTTTTCCCTTTGTGGGCCTCAGTTGTTCCACCTGTTAAAAAAAGGGTTTCACTTGATATCCTACAAATCTATAAAGAATGCTTCCAAACCTACAATGTCTAAATCACCTTAGGGAAGGAGAAGTCCAGCATTACCCAAGGAAGAGGGGAGGGGAGGGGAGGAAGGCTCCTCAATAGGGAGGAGGCAGCAGCTTCCTGAAGATGTCCATCTACACTGGGGCATCGGTATCTGGCGTCCTGTTGGTACCTGGAAATTGTCATTCTATCCAGCATCCTAAAGGCCTGCTATTCTCCTCCTGGAATTATCTGGAACAGTGAACACGTGCAGCAGAGCTGCTTCTCACAGGCTATACCTGCGCCCTTCTTCTCTGTGCCCTAAATGCTGATGTGACATGTGGCCTCATGAAAGTGTGTGCATGCAGTGTGGGACATTGGACACCTTTCCTCAGCAACAGAAGCAGCACGTACCCCAGCACTTGCCACTTCTCAAGGCTTGGCACACTCCTTGCCCAACCCTCCAGGGAAGCATGCTCTGGAGAAGCCAGGCCTGAGCAGGATGGACATTGCATGCCGTCTCTGCAAGTTACAAGCTGCATCTGTGTGTGCTGACCAGGCTGCTGCCCATTTTACAGATGGCGCCTTCCGAAGGCACTGTGACGCAGATAGGGCTCCTCTCCCAAGACATTCATCGCCTTACGGTAGGACTCAGACCCCCACCCCCCAACCCCAACACAACACAGTAGGGCTGGTGCCTGAAAAGGTCCAGTGAGCTTGGTGGGCTGCTGTTCAAGGATAAGGGAGAGTAAAGGATTGTGCTGGGCCCTGAGGCCACAGCCTAAGCCTGAGTCAGCCCAGAAAGGCAGAAAGCAGCCTAGGGGCCTCCTACATTGATTGATTGCTAGGCCTTGAGTCACTAATGGGCATCTGAAAGCTCACAGACCTTTAGCTATAGCCAGGTAAGACATACTAGGTCTACGGTTCTCTTCCCCACCTCAGAGCTGGTGAAGAAACTTAGATGTTCAGCAGCCCTAAACCATCTGTGTAGTCAGCCCAGAGCCCAGCCCTCACCTCTGGCCTAGTGGACATGGTTCTTTCCTCTCTGGACATGAGACACATGCATTTCCCATCATCATGGACATCACAGGCAAGCTAGCATATACTGCCATATACCCAAGAGAACAAATCAGATCACGTGGAGGCAGGCAGCTCAGTCTCAGGGGAAGAGGAGCAGCTTTGGAGTAAGGCAGATTCATCTGCTTTTTACCTTAGGTGTGTTGTTCCCTATCTGAGCTTTGGCTCAGTTACCTGTATTTCCCATTTTGCAAGGGTTATAGGCAGATAAGAGCTGGCAATAAAATGGCCAGTTACAGAGCACAAATTGTCTTTGAGGCCCCATGCCTTCCAGACCTTTTAGTTTCTTTAGAGCCCATCCCTGGCCTGGTAGCTATAGTGTCTATCAACACTGAGTCCCCTGTCACTGTACTTTGCTTGCTGATCTACTGAGGCATGTTTAGAAGACTCTGTCTAAGGGCAAGGCAGGAGTCTTCTGGATCCAAGCAGGTCTCTTCTCGTTTCTTGGCTCATACATCACAATGGATCTATCCAACCTTGCCCTATCATCTCTAATAGGCCTTTTGTGGCCTTGAAATAGCAAGTTTACCTCTAAGATGAGCAGTTTATTTTTACCTTAATAGTACTGTCTATTCTGACCCAATGTTCAGGGTCCCCGGGATACCAGGAACTTACAGGCATCTGTCAGACCATACCGAATGCCCCCTCTGCTCCCTATGTAGCTGTTGTAGGGAAGCCTTGGCCAAAACTATTAAACTGCCCCTTTGGCTGTGTCGTTTCAGACTCTTTTGAGCCAGGACCAGATGCTGAATGACTCTTGCCTGGCTGCCCCCAACTCTGATGACTGGAGATGACATTCTTCATGGCCGAGAGCCCAGAGAGGCACATGTGGGGCCCTAAGTCTTTGCCTCAATGGGGAGCTGGCACACAGCCATCTGTACTATGCAGATGGAGCTGGTGGGACATCTCAGATGTGGGTGCTGACAAGCAAAGCAGAATGGTGGGACAGGTGTCCAGGAGGTGGCCCTCATGTTCCTAAGTGTTTTAAACTGTGCTGTGTTCTTTACTGAAGCTTTTCTACCTTTTGTACTTTTATACATGGACTACAGACCACTTTGTGGGGAGTGCAATGAGATATCAGTGCATGGACTCAATGGCTCATGCTGTTCCTGGTGACAGCTGGGAGGCTCTTACACCAAAGGGGAAGAACTGTTAGTCATAAATCCTCTGCTGGAAAAAGAAAAAGAAAGTTAGGAAAAAAAGTGTTCTGAATGTTTTATAGTGATTGAGTGGGGTGAAAGCACTATGGGAGCTCTCTCTGGGCTGCTTAACAGGAGCATCTTTTCCATTCACAGAAATCTGGCTGAGGAGGGTATTCAGGGCAAGAGCTGTGGGGATCTTCTGGGCCTCCCACTGTTTGCACAGAGGAGTCCCCAACACACACACACACACACACACACACACACACACTCCCTCATCTCATCCTGACAGAGTGTACCAACCTCTGAGGCCTTTCCCTCATTGTCCTCAAGCGGAATGTCTGCTTAAACAGCTCCCCCCAGTGGAAAGCGTCTGCACACCCTAAATTCATTTCTACTGGAACTCATCATCTTCCCAAACAAGCTGTGCCCTTTCTAATGTGTCCCATTTCAGAGAGCTGCCACTAAGCCCCAGTCAGTGTCCTCTCCCCAACCAGCCCCTTCCTCCCTCCCACCCCCATGCTCTAGTTTCAGCCTCATCTCTCATCTGATTGTTGCAGCTGGTCTTCTTAATTCCTCATCATTCCAGTTGGTCCCCTCCAGACATTTCTCTACCCCATCCCCATGATGACCTCCCAAAACACTGTTTTAATCCTGTCATTGTTCAGAACTCCTCAGTTAAATTACCACAGATGAGCATCCCAGGCCCTTCTCCATTATCAGCCATTCTGAACCCACTGTTGAGTCTTCCCTCCCTCCAGGCCTTTGCTTAATCCTTTCCCTCCATGTGGCATCCATTTTTCTCCCAGTCCCCTTCATGAAGCCAAATGTTGCCTGTCAAGGACGAGCACAGATACTACCTCTATGTCCCTCAGGAAGCTTTTACTCTTATATGGGTAAGCCCAGTCCTGACCTCAGACTGCTTCTTGATCAGGTTCCTGCTGACCAGCATCCTTGATCTCTACACTAAATGCCAGCAGCACCTTTCTTCTAGTTGTGAAATCAAAATGTCTCCATATTTTGTCAAATGTTCCCACAGTAGAGGAGGGACAAAACCCCCCATTTGAGAACCATTGGGCTAGAGAATGAATCAGAGAAGGGAGGTCCAGGAAATAAAAAATCTAATGAGGTCAGCAGGAGCCCAATCAAGAAAGATCTTGCAAACTAGGCCCCTGGAATATGTCATAGAGACAGAGGAGTGGCCAGGGTGGGTAATAGAGTACAAGCAGAGCAGGGTTTAAAGTAGGTAGGTAACAAGCATGGTCAGATCTGCAATTAGAGCAAAACCTGAGGTCAGGATCTTATGGTAAAGTATCCAGCAGAGGTGTCATTCCCTGAGCAGGAGATTCCCAGAAGACATGCTGAATGGGTAGGTAGATGAAGCCTGGCCAGCCCTTCCCTTCAGACCTCCCACAGGCCTTCTGTGAGACCATTCCAGTGTATGGCCCCCTGTGGGCAAGACAGCTGTACTGCAGAGAGTTCCCTAGAGCTGCATTCATCTTCTGTGCTCCTTCTGCCCTTCCTATTGTCCTGCATACACATATACAGTGGGTAACAAATCCAGTGGTACCAAGGTCAATACTGCTTCCATTATGTCAGTTTTTGTGAAAAGAGGAATAACTTGGAATAAAACAGACCCATTTTTAAAGTCAGCTGTGCTACCTACTGGCTGCACACTTAGTGGGAACACTTAATTTCATAACCTGTTTCCTCATCTGCAACTTGGAGAACAAAATCCCCTCAAGATCTCTGGCCTACTCAGATAACAGAGCGGCAACATGTTGTCCTGGTCCTGGACAGCAGATGGCAATAGTAGTCCCTTGTATCACTAGGGGTTAGTGATAGGATTTAAGGCAGAGCTTCTGGAACCTGCATGCAAGTTGAGAAACTTCTGTTATGTATGTAACCATCTCTACCCTTGCCCCATGCCAGGTCAGAGCTTAACACTTGGAGGATTCTCAAAAAATAATCCATTCCATGTCTCCATCTGTTGTGCCCAAAGCAGGGAGTCTGGAAGGAGTTCCCAGAGCCTACTTACTCTGGGATTTATTGCCCTAATGTGTGTGCCTTTAATCCCATTCCCACTTTAAGATGTCCCAGAAGAAAAGGAAGAGTGCATTATGGAGGGTGCCTGAGACTTTGTAGGCCTGACCTTAAAAGCAGCACACTCTAAAGAGAGGTTCAAGAGAGATTATTGGGAGTTACTGTGATCCTACTTGGATTCTGCTGGAATTCTGTTGTGGCACTATTGCAGTTCTGACCCCCTTAGGGGCATATAGAAGTCAACTCTCAAGCAGGGCAGACAAGGCCCAGTGGGTCTCTCACAGAACCATACTTCATGTGTTATCTGCTGACTACTTAAGTTTATTTTACTATGGAGAAAGATAACCATAACAGAGCTCTTTCCAGCCTCCAAGACAGGAGGTCTCAGAAGTCATTTTGTCTCCAGCCTCTTGAACACTTCTTCTTAGGCCCCACATTCAAAAGGGGAATGCCAGTGTGGGGGCCCAAGGGTGCATAGAGATGCACCTTCAAAAACATCCCAGTTTAATATGGAGAAGTTGAACTCACTCTGAAACAGAGGAAAGGGTCCCAGGAAATTTTCTAGGAGTACAGGAGATACTAGTAGGTGAAAATCATATCCTTGGTATAACCCAGCTTCTCCAGGTTGGGATGAGCCGCTGTCTGGATCAAGGCTGGTGGGCCACAAACCAGGATGAGTGTGGTTTTCCCAGGGGGTGGGAGGTGCTGCTTGATCATGTCAGCAGTCACAAAGCCTGAGCTGTACTTCCAGCCTGAAATGAAGCACAGCAGGAAAGAGTCACGGGGTAGCAGGCTAAGCCCCCTCCATGCTAGGCTTCTGCCCTCCCTCCTTTCAGCTAAGCAGACCAGGCTGCTCTATAAAGGCTTAGAAGTCTGTACTGCAGCTCCCTGTAATAAGCCCAAGAAGAGGATAAGGGGACAGAATTTACCCCATATTCCAGGCATGGCTGGGACTCAGAGGCCCCTGCTGATGACTGACTTCTGTGAGCACTGAGGAGGGTGAAGGACTTCTTGATGAGGTGTACTAGAGTATAGTGAGTCAGGATAGTGAGCTGGAGCTGTCAGGGCGTGGTATGGAATAGTGTGGGGTTTGTGGAGTTGGGCAGTGCCATCTGCTGGGAAGTGAGCCATATGACAAGACAGGTACAGATAGGTACAGTGTGTGAGACATGCCACACAGGGTACATTGTGCATGATGGTTCCTGGGGTGCTGGCTGAGGCTTAGCATATGACAACTGCTGTCCAGATGAGATGGATAGGGAGGGCTGCAGTGGCCATGAACAATGACATGACTGGTGAAAAGACCAGTGGCCATATCAGCTGCAGTATGTGTGATGGCTGTGGTGTTGAGAGTAGCCCTGGGGCTCACTGTTCCTTTTGATGTTCAGTACAATTCATGGACTGCTCCTGAGATACTGGACACATGCCTTTTGTCACCATTACAAGCAGGCCATCCAAATCCTATCTCCCTCAACACTTGCATTTCCCATATGGATCCAGAGCCCAAAGCCAAATGCTCAAACTCAGTCCTCATAAACAAAATAAGAGGCCAGTCCTTGAGGTGGATCAAAGCCTGGAGCTGACCCACAGTGAGGGAAGCAACAGGGTTTGTACCAAGGGGAGGCCTGTCCAGGGTGTACCACAGTTTGAACTGGTTTAGGTGAGTCTTGGCAATTTCTTCCAGCTCCTTTCTCATCAAGATATCCTCCTCTGTCTAGAAAAGAAGGAACATTATAAAAGACCCTCCAGGGACAGCCTGTATGTCCTCCCACACACTCCTGCCCAAGCTGCCACCACCCTTGCTTGAGTGTATGCAGTAGACTCCCAGGATAAACGAGGATTCTGCTGCTCCTACAGAGCAAACCCATCCTCTTATGGAGGGAGCTGCTGGGATGGTGACATTTTCCACAATGCAGCAGTAACTGCTGCTAAAAGACTGTGGCTGTACAGGCTGGGTGGCTTCACTTGAAAGTCCCCATCCCACCTCCTATATTCACTTTAGGCACCAGGAATGGCAGAACCAACTAGAACAAGCTCACTATAGGCTCAGGTCTTCTGCAAGAAAGTAGGGACTAAGAAGTCATTCAGGAGACACTACCAAAGAACTACAAAAGAAAACAGACTGGAGCCTCATGTGGGAAAAGAGAGCCAAAGTCACTTGTCACAGGCTCAGAGTACACAGAAGGTATGGATCATAAAACTCTTCAAGACTCTTGTCTCAGTTTTCCACTTCCGAGGTTCCATTTAAGAAAATAATCTAGAAGTCATCAGGCCTAGGTGCAATTATTCCTCATTGTATCATTTAGCATTAATAACTGAAAACTGGAAAAAATGTAGATTTAGTAAATCTAAACTTGACACAGACTATGATGAAAATATTCATAGAATTTTTTGTCTTTCTATTTTTTTGGCCGGGGGGGCGGGGGCGTAGCACATACTAGGAATTAAACCCAGGCATGCTTTTCCACTGAGCCACACTCCTAGCCCTTTAAAATTTTTCTCCTTTTTAATTTTTATTCTGAGTCAGGGTCTCACTAGGTTGCTTAGGCCTGGCTAAATTGCTAAGGCTAGCCTAGAACTTGCAATCCTGCCTCAGCTTCCTGAGTCACTGGGATTCTAGGCATGCACCATTGTGCCCAGCTCATAAAGAGTTTTAAGGGGAACAAAATGCCTATGTGGTAATGCTAAGTGAAAACAATATATACACACATGCCCACCACACACAGAAATATATAGCACATAAAAAGAATAAGTAAAAATATATATGTTTTCTCTATTTTTTTCCAAATTTCCACTGAGAGCATCTATGATTTTGTACTCAGAAAATCAAAAATATGTATCAAGGAAGGAAGAAATAAGTATCAAGGAGATACGGATGCTACAGCATTGGCTGGGATGACAGAAAAGTTAAACAAAAACAAGCAGTAAAAGGAGCCTGGATTCAGCTTCTCCAGCTGCCCACTAAACCCTCCCACAGCCACAGGCACCCAAGCAGCTTGGTCAGTGGGGGAGGAATGAATGCAGAGCCCCAGATCAGCGAACACTCCATTCTCCCTCTGCAAGCTCAGGGCTGACTCGGCAGAACTGACCTGGTTGGCAAAGATGAGGGACATCCTGGTCTTGTCCATGGGGTTCTTGGTGATGTGGCGTATGAGCTGCAGCATGGGCGTAATGCCTGGAACACAGTGGGCAGGCAGAACAGCTTCTCCTGTCCCCTGGCTTGCAGCAGCTTAGCAGTTTCCCTTAGCCCTGATATCTTTTCACTTCTGTCCCCAAACTAAGTGGGGAACAGTCCATCATTTTATTGTCCCTTTTAAATGCAACAGTAATTCAAAAGCCCTTTTTCAGTTTCATATGGCAAAATGGAAAGAGAATTCTGAGCTCTTAAGTATACTCATTTGCAAAACAGAATTAGTTCCTTATTAATACCTTAATTAATAAGTAAATGTGATGCTTTTTAAAGTGCCTATGATGGTACCTGGCACACTGTATGTCTCCATGTTTGTTCTCTTCAGTCAGTTATTCATTCCCAAGGGTTGGGAGAATTGGGCTTGGAATGAGTCTAGAAACTGCTGGAGACCAGGGGCAGTCCAGTCGGCCCCACCTGGCCACATAGCCTCCACATGGCCCAGGATTTCCATGTAAGACTCTCTGTGGCCCTGGACAGCCTCCACATTGGTTCAGAGGAGCAGGGCACACAGGGCCAGGTTCAAGACCTATACTAATTCCACATTCCCACCACCATGGCTATAGAAGGAATCTCTTGTGCCATGCCTTCTCCAATAACTCCAAAGTCAAAGTCAGAATTATCTTAGGGCTCACCTTCTGGATGATACCCCCAGAAACCTCTTACCTGTGCCCCCAGCAATCATTCCCAAGTGACAGACCAGTTTTTTCTCAGGCATGCTCGTTTTGTACTGTCTGATTGCAAGGTTTCCTGGAAACACAGAGAATGCTTCTAATTTCTGCAGCTCTTGTCTGGGAGCCTGCAAAAGACTATTGACTTTCTTTAGGATTCCCAGGAAGCAAGTCCATCTTAGGGACTTGCCAGAGAAGCAGGCCATGATAGCTTCCTCTACCAGCCCCATAAGAGCCTGGGCCTCCTCAGGGAACCTCTGGGCCTTCTCTTCTGAGGCAAAAGGCAAGCTGAAGCTAATATGGAACCTCACAAAGCACTCTCACCCAGTGTAGCAAATGCAAGAGAACAAATCAGCCTGGATTCCACCCATCATCCATTTTCAGTATTATGTCTCAGGCTCTGAGTTGGAGATACAGTGAAGACACACCGAATGAAGATTAGGACCTTGTGAGGTGGGTATATGGATGACAATAAAACCAGTGCAGGAATCTCCTTTCTCCCAGCTGGAGATTCAGTGTGACTACCCCAGTACCTTGCCCTTGGTAAAATAGGCGCCCCGTTGGTCCTCGAAAAAGGATAGTGTCCCCAATTTTCATTTTCTCCAAATACTGAGTCATCTTCCCCCCTTCAGGATAATGAGGGTGTACATTTTTGAAGTAGATCTGAAAAACAAGGCAAACTGATTTTCACATGCTCAGATCTATGGCCCTAGCTGCACACAACTAGAAAATGCATCTGCTACAGAAAGCCACACAGGGAAAATGACCCACTCCCACAATTGCTATGGGCAATACCTAAAGACTGCACTCAGTTTACTATAGCTCCACTGTTAAATGACACTGCTGGAAAGTCCTGCTTGGGGCATGAGCAACCTCACAGAAAAAGTACTGCCCTCTACCCTGACACCCACAGTAAACAGCTGCACATGGTGTTTTTTTTTTTTTTTTATCTTTATAATCATTTATATCATTTACCTTTATAATTAAGTCCACAAAGCCTTTGTCATCATCACTTGAGACAGGTGTGTATGCCCTGATCACGAAATCATTATCAATTCTGGCCATGAGATGGACATAGTTACCTACAGAAGAGGCACCAAATATTAGCCTGAGCATGGCCAGCCTAAGGAGCTCCTGGGAATCCCAGAAAGGACTATACTTCAGTGAAGGAGCAAATGCTGCAGCAAGATGTAAAGAGGGGGATTTAGTCTCTTCATCTGTAAAATGGGGATGATGAGCTTCGGGTTGTGGCTTAGTGCTAAAACACTTGCCTAGCATGTGCAAGGCTCTGGGTTGGAACCCATTAACACCCCCACCCACCACACACACATACACAAGTGGGGGTGATGATATACCTGTTCAGATGTGATCATAATTTAAGTAATTTGTAAAGGAAGAGAAGCTAACTGAAATTGGAGGGTGAATTTTGCTTCCAAATAAAAATGTTATCTTTATAAACTCATTTCTTCCTGAACTGGATGTACCACTGGGGTCTGTGAATAAGTCACAGCTACCCCATCTGTATCCTAGTGCCTGGCACAGAACAGGCCTGGGATTCATAGACACTGCAGGGCCCCAGTATCTGGACACCTATGGACCAAATAAAGCAACACCACTGTGTCTTTCTGACCTGTGGCTCCACTGAGGGACAGCAATAAAATTCTGAACCATGAAATTCTGCCCCTCCAGAGTGGAATTCATCACACTCGTATGACACTGAGACTAAGCCCAGTATCAGATGATATGCTGGGCTGCTCAGACTTCTGTTGAGTCTAAACTGGAGACTCCAGTGACCATGGCAATTAGTGCTGAGGGTAAGAGTTGCTACCAAGAGGCACTAACACTAGAGGCAAGAAAATAATATATGTCAGTTTCTGAGGAAGTAGAAACTGGTTTTCCCAGGAAATTAGAGACTTTAATGGAGACTTAAGAGTAGAGATAGAGGCTCTGTCTCAGGGTAGGGAAAAGACGGTAGGGAGGAGGAAAGGTGGTGGAGTGGAACAGTCAAGAAGCCAGTCCTTGAAATTGTTTCTGGAGCATAAACCAGAGTCTTTGAGGAGGCCCTGAGGTCTGAGGTGTAAGCACACTTGATGACTGACTGTGGTATAGCCGGGTACCAGGGATACTCAGGCACACAGGCCTGGAGCAGCCTCCTTCTGAGAGCTCACTTGATACTGGGAACCTGGAAAGGCTGTTCAGATGCAGCTAACCTGGGCTTGGTCTAGCAGCATCCCCAGACAACTTGTGGCTGACCCACTGGTCCCTTGGGCCCTATCTCTAACTAGCTTAATTTCAGCTAAGTTGAGAAGCATCAGCAATATCCTGTGTCCTCATATCAAATTCTCCCAGAACTCACTAAAATTACCCTGATCCCACTAACTGCACAGCTTCCACCAGGACCAAGAAAATTTTATTTCTCCAAAGTTTTTCATTCTTTTACTCTTTCTACAAACAGGACTGGTGACAGGCCAGTCAGAGGGCTGGAAGGCAGCAGGACATTGCACTGTCATGCACAGAGAAGGAATTAGGGAGCATCAAGGAGGGTGATGGGCCAATCTAGCTGCCTATGTATAATTTTATTCCCTATAGAATTGAGGTTAAGGTTTTCTCTTGTTCATATGAGAAGAGTAGGCTGAGGATTAGGATATCTAACAGGAAGCAAGCTGCACAAGTAGTTTATACAAAGTTTCTCTGGATCCCTAGGCCCTGAAGTTTTCCACCTTACAGACTGACTCAGCTGTCTAGAGGTGTTACAGATTGAAAACAGGGTAACTTGGAACTCTAAGACTGCTAGGACTGATATCACAACAGTTCCTGCTTGTGTAGATCTGGGGACCCTATAGAAAATCCACAGTGAGGGGAAGGCACCTGCCTACCTCCACATTCTGAGCATTCTCCTAACTGCAGAGGAACATCAATTCCTCCTTTCCCTCCTATGTACACAATGCTTTGCAGTTTCTGAATTTTCATATCTGTCAATCACCTTACCCTCACTATAATGTAAATGAAGCAGGTAGGCAGGGCCTGGGAAATCCCAATTCATAGACTGAAGATCAGAAAGGTTGAGAAACTTGGTTAACGAGCCCATCAAAGAACCTTCCAAGGAGCCTTCAATGAGATCTTAGATCTTCTGACTCTAGCATCATCTCTTTTCAATGCTTATTAAGATACCACTTTTAGTCAGCCCAAATGGAATAATGAAGAATGATCCCAAGCCCATTTTCTTCTCCCTGAGCCCATATGGTTCAGGAAGAGTATCAGGGAAACCTCGTACCTCAGGAGGTTGGAAACATGTGCTTCTGATAGGAACAGAGTACCTAGCCCTCAAAGGCTGAGCCCTGGAGATGACACGAAACCCCACTCACCTACAGGAAGCCCTAAGACATGCTCTGGAGAGGGCAATCCAAAGCGGAACCGGCGGGTGTTGTGGTTGATTTTCTAGTAAAAGAAAACAGAGGCAGGCTCTATCAGCTCTAGAACTCTTGCTGGGAAGCTCAAATTCCTGGGAAAATAGCTCCACTGGCCCATGATATGAGTCCACCCCACTTTCCCATCCAATATTCCCCACCACTTCTGTCTCCTGTCTTTCACCCAACCAAGGGGAGGGGTTGGGCTGATCCACTACCTCTTTCTCAATCAAAGGCAATGGGTACTTGGCATCAGGGTCCTGTAAGGTGATAGGATCTCTTTTCCTGGAGTTCATGTTCTTCAGGGCAAACACAAGCACTGTAACCCCAACGACCGCAAGGGCCAGCAGCAGGGAAGGGTCCTGGCAGACACAATGTGAACAGTACATCTCAGGTCTTACCATCCCTAAGCAGCACAGTGCTCAGACACAGCAATCTCCCAACCACAGCGTCCTCCCCACAGGAGGAAGCAGGCTACACTAACAAAAAGCAGGTTGAGCTTCTGTGTACCAGAAGGTAGGGAGGGGGTCAGCTGCAGATACTGGTGGGAAAATGCTACTATCTCCAGGCCCCTCCTGCCCATCTGCCTCATCCTGGCTACAGCCAAGGGTGCAAACTTTGGGAGTCCTCCTCCACGTGGGGTGGTTATGACATTACCTGTAACATGCAATACGGAATGAAAGCCCAAGCCCCCAGGACAGAACCAGAGAGAGGGGTGGCTGCCTCCCAAGGTGGTTACAGCTGAGGGCAGGGCACTCCCCTTTTGGTCTGGGGAGGGTGTAGGAGTGAAGTAGCTCTAACCAGGGGATGTTCCACGACTTTGGGCACACTCCAGGACAGGCAAAGGAGGCCTGGGCACTCACCTGCTAGAGGCTTGGAGGGCCTTCCCGCAACCGCCCTCAACTCTGCCACCGCGCCCGGCACGCAAGGCCAGCCTGTTCATTTCTCCACCCAAGCCTGGCCCGACCGGATTCGGTAAAGGTCGTTCGGCTTCTCCCACCCGATGCCCCGCCCGCACCCCGCCTTCTGGGAATCCGCCGCCCGCCCTGCCCAGCGCTCCCGCCCGCCCTGCCCAGCGCTCCCGCCCGCCCTGCCCAGCGCTCCCGCCCTGCGCGGTGCTGCCTGCGGCCTACGCGGCCTCTGTCCCGCCTCCCGCCCCCGCTTGGGTCTGTCCGACGTCAGGGCCTGTGGCTCTCTGCGCCTCCCGCCTCTTCCCGCCCTGCTGTTCCGCGGAACCCACCCGGAATGAGACGCCCAACATGTTAACGAACTGGGGCTCCCCGCGGAGCTCCGCCTGGCGGACTAGAGCGGGACTGAGGCCGGCAGCGGACAGCGGCAGGCAGGGGACCGCCAGCGGCCCGGCCTTGGCGGCGGCTGACTGTCCCCCCAGGGGCCCAGTCGAGGATTCTTTCTCGCGCGATGCTGGCTCTGGCCCAGCCCTGCCCCCAGGGCCACGCGGAAAACCGAGACTTCTGGGCTTGCAGGCCCGGAACCGGGGGCGTCCTTGTTCCTAGATTCCTAATTTGATCCTGATCCCCTCTGCCCCCCCCCCCCCCGCCCCTTGCATACTGAAAGCAGCCATGACTGAGAACTCAGTCCCTCTAGCTTATTTAAGTTGTGGCTTGGCTGGAGAAAGGGACATCTGAATGACTAAAGGAAGGGATGCTGCAAAGGGAATGGGAGTTGGGGGCCAAAAAGCAATAAATACATACATTCATTCAACACGTCTTGTGTGCTTCTCTTTTGAGCCTTGTCTTGAGCTGTGTGTTTGCAGAGTATGGTGGAATCAAAAGCTATCATTGAATTGAAGACATTTACTCAAAGTGTTCTCTCATTTCGCTGGCCAGTCCGTCTGTCCATCCATACATCCCTTGAAGAGAGATGGCAACAATCGGCCCTGATGGGATGGAAGCCAGGATGCGAGACACTGATGGTTGTAGTTATGGGGGTTCTTCACAGTGCCTTTCAGAACCTTGGTCTTCCACCCCAGCCCACCCTGTGCTAGTGGCAAAGGTAAATCCCTGCCTCCTGGGCCTGAGAGAGAGAAGCCAAGAACAAGTCCCCACCTGTTTTAGTTTGCTAGGACTGATGCCAGATACTGGGATCTTTTGGACTGGTAAGGATGGAAACAAAATCTGGTCACATGTGAACATACAGGCATGACTTTTCCTGGAGCTTTCATTTAGGAAAAGAAACAGCTCTGACAAAATGTCAGACTGGGTCTCTAAACAAAAGAAGGAAGCTTAGTTTGTTGGTTACTTGCTGGGGTGGGAATGTGAATTAGCTTTAGGTGTACTCAAGAGTTTCGGCCTGGGCTAAAGATAATTTAGTACAGTTGCTGAACACACTAAAGCATTCCCACTTTAGGTAGCAGTTAGACATAAGCAGTAGGCAGGAGTTTAAGAAAATACTTGGTATAGAACTAAATGATTAACCAACAGCCCTGCTTCAGTGACACCTCAAGCTCTGAAAAGACAGCTATTTCAGGACCCTTGTCTGATCTCAGTCTTATAAACTATTCCTCTTACAACTGAAGAAAGAGATAAATTCAGGAGAGGATGAAGATAAGTTTCCTCAGAAGGGCCTAATTGCTGAGGCATCTTATGCAAGACCCTACACAAACACAGACCAGAGATTTCCATACTCCGGAAAACAGGATAATTAAGACCAGAGCCCACAGCCCATAAATTCTGTTAAAAGAGTTCCATTTAGGACCTGTAAGCCAGACCAAGATGACCCAGAGTTGCCGTTAGGTTGTTAACTAATGTAGTCTGTCAATCCAGAGCCGAAAGTGATACTTGGGTGGGTGTTCTAAGGATCTCCCTCCTATTCCAAAAAAGGCTGGGACAGAAAGAAGTGAGTTGTCACTGTCCTCTCTGAGAGAAACCACTCTCTCCCTTGAGGGTGCTTCCCCCTTCTTTCTCTTCTAATAAACTTTGCTATACTTTTACTAAAAGTCTCATGTCTTGCTTGAAATCTTCTCATGAAGAACTAAAAACATAATGCAATCTCCAGTAAGATCTCAGATGTGATTACATCTCTGTTTTCACCTTTC